ACTAACTAACTAACTCCTCCTCCTCTTTTTTTTTTTTTTTAAACATCCGCCTCCCTCCCCCGCCCCTGTCAGCTGCTTCCACATTTTCTTCCATATTTTCTTCTTCTCTGCTACTTTCCTCCTCCTGCTCAATTTGATGAGCAGTTGCAGTAAATAAAGTTGATGAGTAAATTACCATTGAGCTGTACCTTTTAAAGATGCTTAGGTGACTGCTGTCATAAAAACATTTCTTGAGAAGTTCCTCATATGTCCATTATGTTATACACATAATTAAATGATGGACGTGGAAGTTAAAGGAAAGTAACTACAAACATTTGTCTACGAATAAAGTTATAGGCATTCAAAAAACAAGATTCAATGGCAATCAGTGCATTTACCAGTTTTTGGACTAAATATCTGACTTGATATGGAAAGGATAAGTGGCCAGCATATGGAAGGTAGCGATCATGGGTGTGTAGAACATGTATCTATAGGTTTAACAAACACAGTCATGGATTTATAGAAGAATCCATTCTAGGTTTAACACAGACAGATAGGGTTCTATAGAACAATTAGTTGTTAGATTCAACATCGACAGACATGGTTCTGTCAAACAGTTAGTTGTAGGTTTAACATAGGAAGACATGGAGATATATTATTTGGATGTTGCCCTTCGTTTGGGATGGAATATCCCAATGATTGATCAAATTGGCTTCATACGAGAACAGGTACAAACACATTTTTCATTAAATATATTTATTATCATTTTTTTTTCTTCGGATTATGACACCACGCTTATTAATCATCATTTTCAGCACAACCGCTGCTACCACCATTATCACTGTCACTTAGAGTCACCACCATCACAGCTGACAGCCCTACAGTGCCCATTATCTTTTCCACTAGGGTCATCACCACAATCATCATGTTCCCTGCCAACTGGCATCTCTGCACCTCCACAGATCACGATCCCTGGTTGCCTGAAACAGCTCTCTTGATGATATCCCTCCATGCCATCGTTTCAGCCCATCCAGCATCATCTCTCTGGTCTGCCTCTACCCCTTTTTCCACTGATCTTTCCAGTTGTCACGATGTTCTCCAATGTCTCTTTTCTCATTACGTGGCCAAAGAACAGTGTTTGTCTCTTATTGTTGTATACAGAGATCTACTTTCATTAGCAATCGTTGTTAGTTTCTCTGGTCTTCCAAGGTATTTGTAACGTTTGTCTCAAAAACCACATCTCTGTTGCTTCCAAATTCTTCCTCAGAGTCAAGAAACTAACAGTCTGCCAACAAATGGGCAAATCTGTAAAATGGATGTGCATATACAGCTCAAATTCTAGACCAAGACTAATAACCACAGCTATCTGCTGGAGTTGGTGTGTGGTGGATGCTAAGAAGAGAAGATCTTTACTATGAGCATCATCAGCATTATTTGTACCATCATCATCAGCATTATTTGTACCATCATCATCAGCATTATTTGTACCATCATCATCAGCATTATTTGTACCATCATCATCAGCATTATTTGTACCATCATCATCAGCATTATTTGTACCATCATCATCAGCATTATTTGTACCATCATCATCAGCATTATTTGTACCATCATCATCAGCATTATTTGTACCATCATCATCAGCATTATTTGTACCATCATCATCAGCATTATTTGTACCATCATCATCAGCATTATTTGTACCATCATCATCAGCATTATTTGTATCATCATCAGCAGCATTATTTGTACCATCATCATCAGCATTATTTGTACCATCATCATCAGCATTATTTGTACCATCATCATCAGCATTATTTGTACCATCATCATCAGCATTATTTGTACCATCATCATCAGGATTATTTGTACCATCATCATCAGCATTATTTGTACCATCATCATCAGCATTATTTGTACCATCATCATCAGCATTATTTGTACCATCATCATCAGCATTATTTGTACCATCATCATCAGCATTATTTGTACCATCATCATCAGCATTATTTGTATCATCATCAGCAGCATTATTTGTACCATCATCAGCAGCATTATTTGTACCATCATCATCAGCATTATTTGTACCATCATCATCAGCATTATTTGTACCATCATCATCAGCATTATTTGTACCATCATCATCAGCATTATTTGTACCATCATCATCGGCATTATTTGTACCATCATCATCAGCATTATTTGTACCATCATCATCAGCATTATTTGTACCATCATCATCGGCATTATTTGTACCATCATCATCAGCATTATTTGTACCATCATCATCAGCATTATTTGTACCATCATCATCAGCATTATTTGTACCATCATCATCAGCATTATTTGTACCATCATCATCAGCATTATTTGTACCATCATCATCATCAGCATTATTTGTACCATCATCATCAGCATTATTTGTACCATCATCATTCTAATTTACAACATCACATGTAGGCTTGACACTCGTTGGATCAAGAAAGAACCACTATTTAGGGATCAAGGAAGAACCACTATTTAGGGATCAAGGAAGAACCACTATTTAGGGATCAAGGAAGAACCACTATTTAGGGATCAAGGAAGAACCACTATTTAGGGATCAAGGAAGAACCACTATTTAGGGATCAAGGAAGAGCCACTATTTAGGTATCAAGAAAGACCCACTATTTAGGTATCAAGAAAGACCCACTATTTAGGGATCAAGAAAGACCCACTATTTAGGTATCAAGAAAGAACCACTATTTAGGTATCAAGAAAGACCCACTATTTAGGTATCAAGAAAGACCCACTATTTAGGGATCAAGGAAGAACCACTATTTAGGGATCAAGGAAGAACCACTTTTTGGGGATCAAGGAAGAACCACTTTTTGGGGATCAAGGAAGAACCACTATTTAGGGATCAAGGAAGAACCACTATTTAGGGATCAAGGATGAACCACTTTTTGGGGATCAAGGAAGAACCATTGTTTGGGGATCAAGGAAAAACCACTATTTGGATGCCAGTCCATCAGAAATGTATCCTAAGATATCTATTTCAGCCATATAAAACAGTTATATTGGGGCACCCCCAACATACTAATTTCTTCAACATGCCAAGAAAAGTTACTATTCCACAACTTCCAAATGGGAAGGCAAAAATGTGCACACCTAGATGGTTTAACCATATGGTTGGAGCAAGACTAGAGCACTGATCTGATCTGTGATTCTGGTGATCACCTGGACATGACCACCTGTGCTAATCAGTAGAGCATATAATAGTGACAATTATGATAACGATCATCATCATTATCATCATCAGTTTTCAGAGAAGACTTTCCATACTATCCTGTCCTGTGCAATCTTTAGTGCAGTTTTCCACGTCAGAGATGCTGCATTCGGGTCACTCTCCATCGTTCGTCTCCATGTTGTTTTTGGGCACCCATTCTTTCTCTTTCCTCTGGTGTTCATGTGAGAGCTGTTTTAGCAGGTATATCAGGATTCATTCTCATAACGTGGCCAAGCCATTTCCATTTTCTCTTGGTTATCATACTGTCTAGAGTTTCATACAGGTACAAAAAGTGACCTGTTCTTTTGAATGGGTCATTGATTCCAGTTACAAAACAGTGAATGCTTCTGTGTTGAAGATGGCCTTGATTTCAGTCAAACTGTCAATGGTATTCAAAATTTGATAAAGTGAAGAACCATTATTATGCCAGTGGGTGGGTGGTGGTGGTCCGCATCACACCGGCCGCCTTTACTTCCCGAGACATTACTTGGTACCAGGCTTGGCCAGCCTAGTAGCCAGGGTCAGTTTTAGAAGGGAAAAACCGACTTGAGGATTTGAACCTGAGTATATCGAGTGGAAGACCTAAACTTCGCCGACGACATAGCACTCCTGAGTTCAGAACACACAGACGCCCAAGAAAAAATCAATCGACTCCAGAATTTCTCATAACAAATTGGACTCCAAATTAACACCGCAAAAACAAAAATTCTAGACCTTACCAACAGTTCAGTTGATATCACGCTGAACAACAACAGCCTTGAAAAAGTCAACAGTTTCACTTATCTAGGGAGCAAGATGTCATCTACAGGAGATACCGCACCAGAAATATCATTTAGAATAGCACTGGCATCCAGTGCCTTCAATAAACTGTCTAACATCTGGAAATCAAAGACACTTAGCAAACACACAAAACTCAAGATCTTCAATTCTTGTGTGATTCCAGTACTAACCTATGGATGCGAGAGCTGGAAATCAACGAAAACTCTAGACACAAAATTAGACAGTTTTGAAAATAAATGCCTTAGAAGAATACTAAATTTCAAATGGTCAGATTTCCGAACAAATACACAAATAAGGCAAGAATCCAGGCAAGAGTATGTGTCTAATTTTATACGAAAACGCCGCTGGAACTATGTCGGCCACGCCCTTAGAATGGATAAATCAAGACTTCCTTACCAAGCCCTCATTTGGACACCACAGGGGAAAAGATCTTGTGGAAGACCAAGGGAAACCCTACGTAGAACTATCATCAGGGAAGGCTCGCTCATGGGCCACTCAAACATCCAAGACCTACAACGGATTGCAACGGACCGCCGTGCATGGAGAGTCACGACCTCTGCCCTATGTGCCGCACTCGACACAAGAGGAAAGACTAACTAACTAATATCGAGTGTCTAGCCATTGTTCTACCTTGGCTCCTGTCTCTGGTAGTATTCCATGTTTAAATGGATAAGTGAGTTGCACATCCTTTACAGTGCACTGCAGAACCAACCCCGTCAATGTTTGGCTGTTTATGATTTACCACGACAGTTTTATGTTTGGTAATTTGCCATTGCTTTTAGAATGTTTAGCTTTTGATACCACTGTCAAAACCAGCTCAAGGTGCTCTGCTGCCAGATTGTCTGCAGCTGGAATTGAATCTGACACCTCAGCAGTGTTGCAAAGTGGACTCACAATGTCAAAGCTATAGTTAAATCTGAACATATTGTAATATGTATTTGTCCAATAGTTTTGTTGTTGTAAATCTTCACAGATTGACTTTCCTGATGCAGCCTCCATGAAGTCAGCCAGTAATGCCCGTGCAGTGGTCTCATCCTCCCATATAGAACTATTGCTTAATGATGGGCAAGCCCCCGATAGAATCATGAGGAGAATGAATTCAGACAGTGTAATAGAACAGGTACCTTCATAACTTACGGTTGGTTTTTAAGCAAAGAATTTTTTTAAAAACTATTTACAAATACTGTTGAGATCAGGTTATCATCGGTACACCTCACACTTGTCTGTGGGGGCCTCTGCTTCTAGTGTAAAAATCTTTTAGTGTACAATGGCTAACTTAAAAAAAAAAATGGTTAAAATCGAGAGGATCAACTTCATTACACCGGGTTTTATCCCATGTGGCTCGGTCTCTCTCCCCACAGAACAGCTAGCCCCCTGCCGAGAGCCCCACACAGAGCATGAGCTCTGTAGCTCCTGCGACAATCCCCAAGGATCTCCATAAAAGTTGCACTCGTGAACTGAAAGGCGCAGCTGTGAACTAAACCCAGGATCATCAGAGCGCGAGGCAAACGGCTTGACCACTTCGCCACCAGTCCTGTTTAATGAACCTGCTCACTCAGGTGATGCATGTTGCTCTTCCCAGGCAACACCGTCTTTAATCCACATACTTGATTATTAATGCTGATGGGTTCAGTGAACCCATCAAGTGGGTGTGACCAATATATTCTAGTATCTGATGAGTATAATGAGCTACCTGCTTGCGGCTTCCACTTGTGATTATTAGAGTCTTTTTCACCTTTGTTGTAGAAGTCATGGTTTTGGGAGCCTCGCTAGAGTAGTGGCTAGTCACTCGCCTACTGGCTGAAAGGCCTGATGCGCCACTGGCATTTAAATAGTCTTTTACTTTTTTCCCTGTCTGTGGCTTAGGTATTGTGAACACGCTCTGTATCTTTGGGTTCGATCTCTTCCTGCAGGTGATTTGGCTGCAGACTGCCTTGCGTTAGTTCAGAGAGTGGTATAGAGAGCCGACTTTTCAGAAAACTGTGTCAGTCTGTTTGAGTGTCAGATTGCCTAGTGAAATCACAGCCAGAACATGCTAGCATTGGTTCTGCAGTGTCCTGAAAAGGACTTGCAGTTAACATTTATTTAAAGTTTATTTTGTAATTAACTTTGTGTGTGTGTGCAACATACATGAGGTATAGATCATCATATCTGCTCACAGCCATATGCTTTTCTAAGATGATGTTAATGTTAAAAGTGCCAGTGTGATCAGGCATGATTTTTTGGGGGATTTCTGTCTTAGGGCAGTGCCCTTATTAGCCACGTTGACGCAACCATTGTGCTATGTTATGTTATCACAGTCAACTTCAGAGCACATTGGGCACTCCCATGCGTGCAGCAGGCACTACAAAGAACCTATACTGATTGTTCCCATGAGAAGTCGATTATAGTGTCTCCTATCGCAGCCTTGAGATGGCATAGATGTGCTTACCTGCTTTACTCTTATGTCACGCTGTTGTGCTAGTTCTGAGATTCATCATTATCCTCTAACCATTTTGCTGTACAGGCATCCTCTGCATAGGACAGCTAAAGTGGTGATCTGGCCTAAACACATTCTTAGCTGCTCTCCACTCCTATCCATTACCTTCCTGATGTGACTTTGTGTTACACCTGATTTAGGCGAGGGTACCCCACCCCTTCCCACATTGCAGTTTGTCCCCTTCAGGATTGCAGACTGCAGGATTAACACCTCAAGGATGAGAATCCTACTTGTATAAATCCAGGTTAGCCCCCCCTCCCTCCCCCCCCCTCCCCCCCCCCCCCCCCCACACACCCCATTCAACCACACAGTTATACTGGGGCTCGCAAAAGTTATGGAGTAACCTGATGTCTGAGAAACCTCTTCCCAGTAGGATAGTTTGTGCACTTAATTCTTACTGGAAGGATTTATTCACTGTGCTACCCACACTTTGTCACAAACTCTCAATATCTAGACTACATAATAAACAGCAATGGAAACTGTTCAGCAGAAATCACAGTACCAGTCGTCGTCTTGTGGGATGCAATTTTTTTGTTATTTTGAAGCCCCACCCTGGCTTTTGCCGGAGGGCCCTGAATATGGCCACGTCATAAATATGGCCTAGCCATAGATATGGCCTAACGGCTGAAAGGGGTTTCTGGGACCTCTCCATGGGTGATCCTCATCTGCATGGTGGCACTTTGTGTCACCGGGTGTTTATCGCTTGTGTGATGTCCTGGTAGGGTACAACTACCTACCTACCTAACTACCTGTTCAGCAGAAATCAAAAGGAGGATAGCCATAGCAGTGCATTAAACAGCATTAAAAGTCTGTGGTTGAGCACTAGCAAGGAAGTCAGTTTCTAAGTTTGACGACATGCATCGTCCCAGTAGCAACATGCAAGTTAGGACATGTGTACTATGCTAATCAGTCAAAACCTTGTATATTTATTTAACACTTACATCATGTTCTGACACGCCAGATTAGCATACAGTTTAGCATCCCATATGCTCCCTCCCCCCCCCCCCCCCCCCCCCCCCCAAAAAAAAAAACTTACATTCTCCTTTACCCCTTATATTCACAGATGCAAGAAGGCCTGGCATGTAGCAGCAATTCGTCCCTGGGTGTGGGTGATCACTGTCAGCCGCCTGGTGGACTGGAACATCCAGGCATCAAGCGGTTCTCAAGGGCCAGCGATACATCCAGTATATACTCGGGATCTGATATGATGCACTCATCTCTGGATGATTTAGACGTGCAGGACGTGGATCTCAGTGGCCTGACCAAGAGTTTGGCAGGCTCCGATGATGAGGAAGGATATGCTGAGTCTGCTGAGGTACTGCTGCTACTGTTGATTAACTCTTTCACTGCTAAACAACTAACCATATGGTTCTTGGTCATTCCAGAGATAATATAATGTTCTTGCTGTCTTCAGTCACAGTCTTGATATTAAACCCCTTTAAAGTAACATTGGCTTGGTATTAAAAGAGTTAAAAAGTGTATTAGCTGAGTATAATTTTCTCTTCTTTCATGTAACTTTTGCCCACCAGGAAGCATAGATCTTCTTTCATCTGTCTTGTATCTAGCAATGAAGTAAAGGTCTTTACCGGTCTCACAACTTTCAACATCTCTTTCAATGTCTACCTTCCCATGTTATCCATTTCTAGACCTCCCCCACCCCCCCCCCTTCTTCACATTTCCCAAACCCCCCCCGTTTTCCCCTTGTTTTTAAGTTCCCCTATATTTCCTTTGCCTTCTGGGTTCCAGATAGAAATGATTCTCTGCTTGCTTCCTCTCAGGGTGTGGTGTGTCCAGCATAACACCATCTACCATGTATTATAAGAGTTGTTACCAGACATTTCTCTTATTTCTTCACCTCTTGAATTCCTCCCATTTTGTGTTCAAGATTTTCCTACAGCATTTTATAGCCAGTGCACCTTCATTATCTTGTCTCCACCTTCGCGGAGGTTGCCTCTGTCTCTTTTTCGGGACATTGTACCCTTCATCAGCGTTTTCCCAGGCCACTGTGACATTTAACTTGGCTAAAATACCTGAGATTTTGGGACTTTCCTTTTAATGATGTAATTATGAGACACACTGACTGAAAGAGACACGGTTCAGATGTAAATCCAACAAGAGAAAGTCCTAAAAATCCTACATGTCTGCATTGTGTTACTGTATCTACAGTAAGATAACCTTTGACTGTACCAAAGAGGTTCCTGTATGTACAGTAACATTATTTTTGACTGTACCAAAGAGGTTCCAGTATGTACAGTAACATTACTTTTGACTGTACTCTTTCTTTAAATCTTTGAAGGGAAGTCGCCATGGCATAGATGCTTACCGTGAATCGGAAGGTCGTAGGTTTGCGCCCTGGCAGAGCCTAACTTTTTTTTAAAAAATGACCTCGGCTCCTAGGTCGACCCAGCTTTAAGTGGGTACCGGGTGCAGACCTGGGAAGTAAAGGTGGCCGGCATGATGCTGACCACATCACCAATCTTGTGCCGGATTGGTCTATAAAATATAGGTCTAGCCCTATATGCCTAAAGGCGTGGAAAAGGGTCCTTTACTTACTTTTTAAATATTTGAAAATTACCCTTTTCTCCTTCAATTTAAAAATAGTGCTTCTTTATAATTCCCTGACTGACTTTCTACCCCACCAGGACATCACACAAGCAATAAACACCTGATGACACTTCTTCTTCTTCTTTCGTTCGCCTGAAACAAGTTGTCTATATCAGCAGTTTTGTCTCTTGTATAAATTTCACTGTCGTTGTTAGTTCATTCAGTGGTCCATAGAGTTTACATTCCACTGTTGTTCTTTCTGGCCAAAAGGTTTGCCTTAATGTGTCAAAATCGGTGCAGTCCTGGAGTACATGCTCTGCTGTCTGGGGCACATTTCCACAGGTGCACATGGCTGATACACCCATCTTTAATTTTGTGTACATGTGGTTACGTAATCGGTTGTGCCCTGTTCTGAGGCAGAGGATAATGACTTGTTCTGGTCTGTCCATAATAAAATAGTCGTCTTGTGCTGGGGCTGGTGGTTTCCTGATCGATTTAATGATTCTTTTCTTTTGGTGGTCTGTGACTGGTACATCCGGCTGCTCTTTTGTCGCACCTTCCCCTGCCAGTTGATCAGCTTTCTCATTTCCAGGCACTCCACAATGAGACGGTATCCACTGCATTACGACTCTTCGCTGAACGCTGAGTTGTGTCAGCAGTGTTTGCAATTCTGGTAGTTTCCTAGACTGGAGTGCTTAAAGTACTGATTTAGCATCTGTCAGCATTACCACATACTGTGAGCCAAGGTTGGTATTTAGCAGTTTCTCTGTAGCTATCTTGATAGCCTGGGTTTCTGCATCGTAGTTATGGCAGTACTTCCCGGTTGGTACGCTGGCCTTATCCCTAGTACCATCTGGGAATTCGATGTACACTCCAGCGCCACCATTTCTAACTGCACTTTCTGCGGACCCATCTGTATAGACTCTGACCCACTGTTCTTGTGGGTTTTCTTCATCAATATAACTGAGGGTGGCCATTCTGCGTTGTACACTATCTTGCTCTTTCTTGTCAAATATCCCTTTCACATTTGTCTGGATTTGTACTGTTAGTTTACATTTTTCTCTCCATGGGGTTTGTTCCGGAATACTTTTAAGTGGGCAACCAATTTCTGGAAGGTCAGGACTTTGTCTACATATTCTTTTTGCTTGGTGTATAAAGCTGCTTCTTTTTAACCGTCCCAAGGCTAGGTTCTTAAATCTATTTTCCATTTGGTGATCTGGCATACTGAGGAACTTTTCAGTTTGTATTTGCAACTTTGTATCTCTGCGTTCTCTCAGTGCCTGTGTTTTCCCAACAATCTGCCACCATGTGGGTGAGGATCACCGTGGAGAGGTTCCAGAAACCGCAATATTGCCTTTAGGCCATATTTATGGCCGGGCTTTTTTGCGGCCCCTGGCAAGAGCCATAATAGGGCTTCAAAAAACGACAAATTTCAACCTAAAAAGGATGGGGAGTGATGCTGTTACACTTACACACTCACAATAATATAATTCCCTGAAATTCTACCCTAAGAAACTAGAAACAGCAGCAGTTGAAATTTAAAGTCTTGATATTTATTAATGAATACATTTTTTTTTTTTAATATTCTGGGGTAGAACTTGTAGATCACGGAGCACACAGGCAGGCAAGAAGTAATCTGCTGTTATAACGATGTCATGCCCCTAAAAAATTTTGTTTTTCCCTGTCACTGAATGTATAAATTATGCAAAGGTTTGTGTCTGTAAGAAGGGAGATAATCACTAAATACAATTGGAGCAAAGAATTAACTGATTTCCTTCTCTTTAGATATTTAAAAGAGGTTTTGGTCACTTTGCCACAGAAAGCAATGGGACGCAATAGTGAAATGTTTATAAATCTATTTTGTTCATTTAAAGAAAAATCGAAACAATATTGTTGGGTAAGTACAATCATACATGACTACAGACTGTGCAGTTGCAGCCACTAATAAAGCTGTCGTACATGCCCGCTGGGTACTTCTAAAGACATCACATCAACCAAAGGCTGCAGAAGTCGGGGAAAATGGCTTTCTCTGGCTGAGAGGGCAAAGTGAGCAAATTCTCTCTAATCATTAAGGATTTTGTACAACATTATGTTTCAGACTTTTTCCATCCGAGATGCAGAGAGGGACTGTTTAGAAAAAGAGCCATCAGAACGCACAGAAGAGGACATTCAAGTGCTTCTTAATTTTACCCAGCACTTGAAGGTATGGAGGCTGTAACTGATATTTGATTTTGCCATTACTGTTCATCATTTGTGTGTGACTGGGGTGTGGTTAGTTGGGTGACTTTATGTGGGTTTATATATGTGAGCCATTTTTAGTTGGGAAAGAACTTGACAGTATGTGTGTGTGTGAGAGATAGATAGATAGATAGATAGATAGATAGATAGATAGATAGATAGATAGATAGATAGATAGATAGATAGGTAGATAGATAGATAGATAGATAGATAGATAGATAGATAGATAGATAGATAGATAGATAGATAGATAGATAGATAGATAGATAGATAGATAGATAGATAGATAGATAGATAGATAGATCGATAGATAGATAGATAGATAGATAGATAGATAGATAGATAGATAGATAGATAGATAGATAGATAGATAGATAGATAGATAGATAGATAGATAGATAGATAGATAGATAGATAGATAGATAGATAGATAGATAGGCAGGCAGGCAGGCAGGCAGGCAGGCAGGCAGGCAGGCAGGCAGGCAGGCAGGCAGGCAGGCAGAGAGAGAGATAGAGAGAGAGATAGAGAGATAGATAGATAGATAGATAGATAGATAGATAGATAGATAGATAGATAGATAGATAGATAGATAGATAGATAGATAGATAGATAGATAGATAGATAGATAGATAGATAGATATATAGATAGATAGATAGATAGATAGATAGATAGATAGATAGATAGATAGATAGATAGGTAGGTAGGTAGGTAGGTAGGTAGGTAGGTAGGTAGGTAGGTAGGTAGATAGATAGATAGATAGATAGATAGATAGATAGGCAGGCAGGCAGGCAGGCAGGCAGGCAGGCAGGCAGGCAGGCAGGCAGGCAGGCAGAGAGAGAGAGAGAGAGAGAGAGAGAGAGAGAGAGAGAGAGAGAAAGAAAGATAGATAGATAGATAGATAGATAGATAGATAGATAGATAGATAGATAGATAGATAGATAGATAGATAGATAGATAGATAGATAGATAGATAGATAGATAGATAGATAGATAGATAGATAGATAGATAGATAGATAGATAGATAGATAGATAGATAGATAGATAGATAGATAGATAGATAGATAGATAGGCAGGCAGGCAGGCAGGCAGGCAGGCAGGCAGGCAGGCAGGCAGGCAGGCAGGCAGAGAGAGAGATAGATAGATAGATAGATAGATAGATAGATAGATAGATAGATAGATAGATAGATAGATAGATAGATAGATAGATAGATAGATAGATAGATAGATAGATAGATAGATAGATAGATAGATAGATAGATAGATAGATAGATAGATAGATAGATAGATAGATAGATAGATAGATAGATAGATAGATAGATAGATAGATAGATAGATAGATAGATAGATAGATAGATAGATAGATAGTAGATAGATAGATAGATAGATAGATAGATAGATAGATAGATAGATAGATAGATAGATAGATAGATAGATAGATAGATAGATAGATAGATTGATAGATTGATAGATTGATAGATTGATAGATAGATTGATAGATTGATAGATTGATAGATTGATAGATTGATAGATAGATAGATAGATAGATAGATAGATAGATAGATAGATAGATAGATAGATAGATAGATAGATAGATAGATAGATAGATAGATAGATAGATTGATTGATTAGATAGATTAGATTAGATTAGATAGATATATTAGATTAGATTAGATTAGATAGATATATTAGATTAGATTAGATTAGATAGATATATTAGATTAGATTAGATTAGATAGATATATTAGATTAGATTAGATGGATTGGATTGGATAGGAATAAATAGTGAGAGAGAGAGAGAGAGAGGGAGGGAGGGAGAGAGAGAGAGATTGCCTGGGTTTATGTATGAATAGTTGTGCCTGGGTTTATGTATGAATAGTTGTGCCTGGGTTTATGTGTGAATAGTTGTGCCTGGGTTTATGTATGAATAGTTGTGCCTGGGTTTATGTATGAATAGTTGTGCCTGGGTTTATATATGAATAGTTGTGCCTGGGTTTATGTATGAATAGTTGGGGTGAGCTTGACTTGGATTGTTGCATGTGTGGGCAGCAGTTTGGGGGTAGTTTGGTATGCTTGACAGAGTTTGTATGGAGGTTTTGGGTGAGTTTAACTGGGCTTGTATATGTTTGGATAGTTGCATGAGTTTGAGTGGGTATGTAGAGGAGGTGGGAGAGCTTGACTGAGTTTATATATGTCTGTGGGTAATTGGATGAGCTTGACTGAGTTTATATGTGTGTTGTGGGTGAGCTTAACTGAGTTTATATATATATGTGGGTAGTTGGGAAAGCTTGACTCAGTTTATATATGTGTATGGGTAGTTGGGTAAGCTTGACTGAGTGTATATCTGTGTGTGGGTAGTTGAGTGAGCTTGACTGAATTTATTTATGTGTTTGTGTCTCTGTGGGTAGTTGGGTGAACTTCAAAATGTTTATATCTGTGTGTGAATAGTTGGGTGAACTTTATCTATTTTTTTGTGTGTGTGTGTGTGTGTTAGTAGTTGGGATATCCGCTTTCTGTTCCTTTTCAGAAAACAAATAAAATCTCGACCACGTCCAACCTGCTGCAGTAGTTGGGATAGAGAGTGACTGGGTTTATATGTGTATGGGTAGTTGAGTGAATTTGAATTGGTTTATATGTGAATGTGCGAAGGTGGGTGAATTTGACCTATTTTTTATATTTGCGTGAGTATGTGTTAGTAGTTGGAAGAGTACTTGACTCTGTGTGTATGTATGTATGTACGTGCGTGCGTGCGCACAATCGCTTGCGTGCGTGCGCACAATCGCTCGTGTGCATACATGTGTGTTTGTGTGTGTGAGGGTAGCTGGTTGAACTGGAGCCTGCCTTTATTTATATGGATTTTAACAAATTATTTTTTTCTTTAAATTTTTGTGTGTAGGCTTTCTCCAATATGACAGAGCACACTCGCCGTCTGTTGTGTGAGGTGATGGTTTTTGCCATCGTCCCTAAGGAAGGGACCATCGTCATGAAGGAAGGGGAGGAGTTAGACTCTTGGTCGGTCATTCTTAATGGAGAAGTGGAAATTACACGGTCAAATGGTGCCAAAGAAAGATTACAAATGGGGGATAGGTAAATGTTTCCTGTTTTGTTTTAGTGAAAACTCATTTTATGTTGCTTTTTTAAAGATTTTGTAAATACAAAATGTTGACAGTGAATAAACAGTCTGAACGTAAAATTGTGTTTAAAAAAAAAATCAGTCGAAACAAAATAGTACTAGTCAAGGTTTAAGCTTTGGAAAAAAAAAAAAAAAAAAAATCCCCTCCCCCGTTTTTCCCCCTTCTTTTTCCCATAATTGCTTAATTTCTGTGCCAATGAAGAATCACATGAAAAGCCGCTCACTGTCCCATTAGAAACTAGTGGACAAACAGTAAGTCCTGGCTGCCCATGTGGGTTGTAGGGCCTGGTTTTGTGTGTGTGTGTGTGTGGAAAAAAAAGGGGGGGGGGGGTGGTTAGACTTAGAGTTGCCTAAAAGCTTGTTTTAAAAGGAGATTAATGAGGGATATATTTTTTAAAATTGGAGTCCCTCTGTCTGAGAAATGAGGAACCAACAGTCTGCAAACAGATAAGCCAGATCTGCAAAATGAATGTGAAAAGTTAAGTTCTGGAAAAAGATTAAAGTCCAGATGTGGACAGACAAGCAGAACTTTACAGCTGGTGAACGATAAGAACAAGAAGAAGATGTACCACACAACTGTACCTTTTTACAAAAATAGCTTCTGACCACACAATCTTACCTTTTTACAAAAATAGCTACTGACCACACAATCTTACCTTTTTACAAAAATAGCTACTGACCACACAATCTTACCTCTTTACAAAAATAGCTTCTGACCACACAATCTTACCTTTTTACAAAAATAGCTACTGACCACACAATCTTACTTCTTTACAAAAATAGCTACTGACCACACAATCTTACCTTTTTACAAAAATAGCTTCTGACCACACAATCTTACTTTTTCTCACACAAAAACACACCCCAAAAAAAAAAAACACAACCATATCTTTTTACAGAAATATCCACTGACCACATAACCATCTTTTTTACAAGACTAGTCACTGACAAAATAACTAACTTTTAACACAAATAGGTACTGATCGCACAACTGCACCTTTTTTACAAGAATGGCCACTGACCTTACAATTTTACCATGGTGATGGTGTTTAACGGTGTCTAAATTATATTTATGTCTTTAAAAGTTGACAGGTAATTTATCACAATGAAATAGTTAATTACAACTTCTCATTCTAATGTCGTGTAGTAAACAGCAACTCTGTTGTTTCCTCTAGTTTTGGAATCAGCCCAACTATGGAGAAGCTGTATCACCAGGGGGTCATGAGAACCGTAGTCAATGACTGCCAGTTTGTTTGTGTGGCCCAGTCCAGTTACTATAGGATCCTCCACCAGGTACGTCATGTGATTATTTGGTCTTTAATTCTTTCTTTGTTGGTCATATTGATTAGGGGTTAGTGATCAGAAAGCATTATCATCACAGCACTCGGGACAGATCCATAGGTGCTCTGATCTCCTCCTCAGAAACTCTACAAGTGTAAAACAACTGATGACGCCTGTTCTGTGTTGGTTAATGAAACGTTTGTTGGTCATCTTCTTCCTTAGGGTGCAATTTTTCTTCTTCCTCCGCATTCATCCCAAAAAGAGCAGTTGCCACATTATGTTGGGGTTTACATTTAGGCTGCAATATTTGCGCCTTTCAGCCCAAAACGTCCAGTTTCAGCAGATGACGTGTTGGATAGAGGTCCCTTTTCCACGCTCTTAGTCATGTTTTGCATATCACGCTAGACCTATATTTTATAGACCAGTTGGCACCTAATGTGTGATGTGGTCAGCATCATGCAAGCCGCCTTTACTTCCCTGGACTTTATCTTGTACCCATTTAAGGCTGGATCGACCTGGGAGCCAATGTTAATTTTCAAAAAAGTCCAGATCTGTTCAAAACGTTTGTAGTGTTATATTTATTTAGATATTGTTTTGATGTTATCTTATTTCTTTCATTTCTTCGTTTCGTAATCCATGCTTTGTGGTTTCAGTAATGATTTCTGTTCACAACCTTCTGTCTCTTGTACTGTCAGATGTTCTTCTTTGTTATGATGCAAACTGTCTAGCCTCTTTTGTCTTGGTCTCCCTCTGCCTCTCTTCCCCTCCATCTTTCCCATTGTCATAATGTGCTTTTGATTTCTCGTTCTCATGGCAAGAACAAAGGATGGAGACTGCCTCATACTGATGCAAACAATCAGTTATCTTTGTGAGTTAGATTACGTCAAGACATCTTCATTGTTTTTTTTTTTATTTGTTACCTGTCTTTAATATTTTCATCATTTGTCTAAAAAAAAAAAACCGACATCTCAGCAGCTTCCAAAATACTTTTTCAATATCCAGTTGACTGCCCATGATTTACTTCCATACTTGGGGATGGGCTCTGTATAGTAGCCCTTGCAAATATTTCATTTCCATGAACAGTTTCAAATGCTGACAGAATTATGTCAGCAGTCAGTATTGGATAATTTATTTTAACAGTCACTGATCAGGTTTTCTCTTAAAATATAGGGCGAGGAGAATATAAAACGACATGAAGAGAAGGGCAAAGTCGTGATGGTAACAGAGCACAGGGAGCTGGATGGAGGTGAAAGGAAAGGTCATATAGTTATCAGGGTAAGTTGCGGATGCTTTATGTTGAGAAAGTATTACAGTAAGTGGTAGTTCATCCAGAAGTTGAATTATAACAAGAAATAAATGGTTTGGATTATTGACATACCAGTACTGAGAGGTACTGATAGCTACACCTAGTAGAAAAATGTAATAGTAAAACTAGGCCCGTATTAGATATGTAGGTAAATGTTTGACACCAGTTGTAGATATTACAGGGCAGGGTAAGGTGTATTCACAAGACAGTTTTGAGGGACAGATGATGGAATGTGAGTAAGGTGATCATTTGCCTTCCACAGTTTCCTTCCTTCTCAGAAAATAATGTAGAACCCATTTTAAAAAGGCAGGATTGAGCTCAGATCATTTGTTTATCATTAAATATAATCTTGTCTTAGCTGTGGTTGGAACCTGGGCTACTCTTTGCAGGCATCTGTGCTAACCACTACACTGCTATGGCTTCAGAAAATTTCTACATTAATTAATTCATTCTTAGCTCAGTCTTGGATTCAGTTTCATATCATCCCCCTGTGGGTTTCAGGGCCTATTATAGGGAAAACAAGAATAGACCCACTGCCTACGCAAAAGCATGTCATAAGAGTCGACTAATTGGGAGCTTCCTTCGAAGTCGGAGTGCATCTGCCTGAGAGGCAAGGAACCAGCAGTCTGCATACAAATTAATCAGATCTGTGAAACGGATGCACATGTAACACTCAGGTTCTGGAACAAGACTGCAGTCCAGAAGTGGACGAACAACCAGAACTTTCCGCTGGAGTTTACAGCTGGTGAACGTGAAGAAGAAGAACAAGTTTCATATCACGATAGATTTTTTTTTTAATGACCTTGGCTCGCCTTTTCATCCAAGCTAAAATGTGTACTAGGCAGAAGTTAGACTAAGTTGATACCCTTACAGTTCAAATCGAGTCCCAAGACATTGTCCCAAGTCAAGTCTCAGGTCACCAAGAATGCTTCCAAGTCTGAGTCCTGAGTCAAGTGACTTCATGTTTCAAGTCATTGGCAAGTCATGCATGGACAGTGCTTATGGATCAATCAAAAATTCATGCAAATACGAAATTGGAAATGGCAGTGTGAAAACTCACTAACTATATTTAAAAGTAGAAGAAGTCGAATGAGAAAGCTTGATAAATTTAAATATAATTTATTCTGTCCTGTTTTATCTGAAGATGTGTTGTTGGTAACTACACCTCACAGTGACCAGCTACTAAGAATGAGCCGCACCAAGTCATATGAGCCGCAAGTCGAGTTGCAAGTTGTTAATTATGTAGCTTATTAATTTGGACTCGAGTTCAAGTCACACGATTTGAGTCCAGAACTCTGGTACCTGGTAATGTCTTGGGAAGTAAAGCTTAGACTAAAGTGCAGAAGTGAATGAACTACTAGACTTCCCACCGCAGTTTACTGCAGGTGAATAAATGTGAAGTAGAAATCTTTATAAATAAAGCCCATGATTGATGATATGATGTTTTTGATAAAGATTGATTTGAAGACACATCCTATCTTACATTAAAAATAAATAAAGATTGAGTTAATGTCATATCTTTACAACAGGGAACCAGTGAAAGACTGATGCAGCATTTGATAGAAAGCCATTCTGCAATAGACCCTAACTATGTGGACGACTTCCTGCTTACCTACCGCACATTTCTCAGTAGCCCTTTAGACTTGGTCAAACGGTTGCTGGAGTGGTTCCAGACTGATGAACTGAAGACCAGTGTAAGTACCAGTGTTCATTTCTGTTTTGAGTTCACACGTTTAAATATCAGTTACTTCTCTACGTCTGTTATTTAGATTTACATTTTTATTTATACTCTACAACAATAATTGCTATTACCAGTGTTTTAAATTTTATTTTTATGGTTTTATGCTTGTGTCCATCCTGGCAACACTTATCTTTGCTTAATGAAGGTGGCCAAGATATATTAGAAATATTAATATCAGCCAACTTCCTAAGCATGTTTCATTTTCTGAACTTAGAGCAAGGTTAAGAGGAAGACTGTAACTAAGACACAGAGAATTCTGCGGCCCTGTTTGTTGGGGGTGGGGGGGGGGCGGGGGGACGAATAGGCCCCTGCTCTTCAACAGTATGTCTTAAGCAGAGACTTATTAGGGATTTGCTGAAATGGGATGTGTTGGGTCAAAAGGTGTAGATATCACAACCTAGCTGTGCCAACCTTGCTTCTAAGGGTGAACGTCAGAGAAGAAAATGCAGAAGATCAATAGAAATGTCTGTCAGTGCTGAAGACTGAGAAGAAAGATACTAAATTCATTGAGAAACAGAAGATCAAATGATTTGGTTATCTGGTTAGAATGCAGCCACAACAACTACCACTGAAAGCAAGAGTGTGCAAAAGCAGACACTGGATTAGCATTAAAGACATTCTGCATCCACACGGGAATGACAGTATTTAGTACTGCCCATTTGACAGTGGATCACAACCCCTCCCCCCCACACACACACACGCACACACACACACAGAGCCTAACGAAATAAATAAAAAATTAATGAAGTTTAAGATGATATCCTTTTTTTTGGTCATACTTAGGTAACCCGGGTAGTCTTGCTGTGGGTAAACAATCACTTTAACGATTTTGAGACCAACCCGGACATGTGTGATTTCCTCGAACACTTTGAATGCCTGTTGGAGCGTGAGGTAGGATAATAGGCTTGTTTTCAAATCTTGCATGTTTTTCTTTTGGTGTCTACTCCTTCGCCATCCATTTCTGATGTTTTATAAATGTCATCCTAGAAGCGATTGATGTTTATATTTTCATAGTGAACTGTGATAAGCAAGAGTGTTTGCTTTAAATTAAATTTATTGAACATCAGAAATAGTTTTATACATTGAAGTAGGCTTTTCCGTTTAAATTAAAATTTGTGTAAAATAACATGATTAGTCTCTAAACATCATAATTTGACACAGGAGCCCCATTTTGGGGGTGGGGAGAAACAGACCCCTTGCCCCCTAACAGACGTAAAAAGCAAATAATTAAGGATTTACTGAAATTGGATGGGTAGGGCCAAAAAATTGCAGATATGACAGCCTAGCTGTAAATAACACAACATGCCACCTGCCTTTTTAAGTCTGAATGAAGAAGAAGATGCTAGCAGATTTAGTCAGTTAATTGTAATGTTTATTTGTTTTTATGTTTTCATGCATGAAAGGGTAGATAAATATAAGATATTTGCAAATTAATGTTCTTGTAATAGTTATTAATATCTTCATTTTTTTTTTTTATTAATACCAAAAATTTATTAAACTTAGTGCCAGAAACTTTTGGCATTTGTCAACCAAAAAAAAAAAAAAAAATTATTGAATCAGAAATACGGTATAAAAACTGAATCATTCACATTTTAATAAGAGCAGAATTAATAAATTAAAAATATAGTTTCCAAAATTGGACAAAATGGTGAACAGAAAAATAAATATTTAAATGCAGTTTCTACTCTATTAACACGGAATCTACTCTTTTTTTTTAAAAAGCCATTATCTGAGAAGTTTTTTTCTTTTAAATAAATGCCAAACATTATCTAGTAATTTATATTTTGTTACCTTGGTGATCTTGGGGGATGGAAGACGGTGTGCACTCTGGCCTGCCAGGATTTGGAATGTCTTCATGTATATGGGCTGTTGGGCTGCAGTTATATAAAACAATATATTTTTATCTCTAAATATAAACTAGCATGAACATGATATTGACATTGTATTGTGTACATGGGAATATATATGTGCATAGTTGTGTGTGTTTGTGTGCATGTCTCAGTGGCTGAATGTGTTGGTAGGTTAGAGAAAGAGAGAAAACTTGTCTATGTTTGTGTGAGACTTTAATGCTTTAAATACTGACTTTATAGATGTAATTTGTGTTTTTTTTTGGTGTTTGTGTATGTGGGAGAGAGAGAGAGAGAGAGAGAGAGAGAGGAGAGAGAGAGAGAGAGAGAGAGAAACTTGTGTATGTTTGTTGGATTCTTTAAAGTAATTCATTAAATACTGACTTAAGAGAATTACTCTGTGTGTGTGTGTGTGTGTGTGTGTGTGTGCGTGCGTGAGCGAGCGAGTGAGTGAGTGAGTGAGTAAGTGTGTGAGAGAGAGAGAGAGGGAGAGCTTCTCTATGTTTGTGTGAAACTTTAAAGTAATGCTTTAAATACTGACTTTAGAGAGTTACTCTGGGTGTGTGTGTGTGTCTATGTGTGTGGCAAACTAAATCTGATGCTTGGACATTCAGGTGATTTGAGCAATGGCAGACCCATTGACCCTCTCTATGTTGTAAAAGATGACTAATTAGGGTTATTTCCCTTGAAGTCAGTTTAATCAGGCAGTTGCAGTTTCAACTTGATAGCAAACAGGTCATCCCATAGTTGCTCTGCTCCTTTGCCATTGAAAATCACACTGAATGTTCATCGCTGTCCTTTGTGGAAGAATTGACACAAATTGTAGTCTCAGCTTACACATGCATTAAATGCATGAGGCAGCCATCAGAAGTGCTCATCATCGGCTACCGCAGGTCGCCCATTGGCTCGGGGGTAGACGACTTCATCGCCGGTCGCGACATATTTGGGGTCTGTCTCCTTTGATCACATCAGCACTGCAGGAATCCTTTTCAGGGCTCTTGGTGGCGAGCAGTGCTAAGCACATATATCACACATAACCTAGTCACAATTATAACCTAAAGCTCCCCCTTGGGGGATGCTGGTTGAATGTGACAATTTTTTTTTTATAGCTAAGATTTAGATTGACCATAACTGCTAACACAAACAGTCTGACACTAGAAATGCAGTTCATAATTGATGGAAGCAACAGTTACTACTGATCAGAAGTTGCAAGCACAGTTAATCACATAAGGCACCACCACTTAGTACTACGGCAACAGGCCACTCTCCATTTTCTGAATCTACAGTTTGCACCATATACCACATTGATCACAGTCCAAAAATTTTAATCATTTAAAATTAAATCTGCAGCTCACAGTGTCATGCCATGCCCTCAGCTCAGCAGCTGGGCGACAAAACTATAGTCAGATGCATTTGCTTGAAAGACCAAGAATCAACATAATGCATTCAAATCATATTTTCATTTACTTCGTGTGAAATTTCCTTGAAGCAGTTTTATGTAGGCTTGGTGTGGCAGATCTAGGTCAGATTAAAAAGGAAACTTCCGATTTTAACCTTCAGACCAGCAGTTCTGGCCACAGTGCCACCAGGGCTTTGAGTGTCTTGTCAAGTGCATTAAAAATATGAATAACTTATGCACTACTTGAAAGGGCAGTTTCTGTTCCTCGGATGAAACTGCATGCCACTTGAGGTGCCATGTTAACAGATAAAGAGTTAATGCTTAAATGCTGTGTTTTCCCTCTCTCTCTTTTTGCAGAAAGTGAGTGTCAGAATTACCTTGGTATCAGTTTTAACTCCTTCGTTGCCATGCCCAGACATGTTTGTTGTTGAAACCAGCTGCATACTTGATTGTTGCCCTTATGAAATCACAACACAGCTGTCATTTTCTTTTGCATCCATCTTTGTGTCTTTTTGTTGTGTTTGTTACACCTCTGCTTGTGATATGAATCGTTTTTATTAATGTTATCAATTGTTAATATTATAACACAACAATATATTGCACAATTTTTAACCTGGCGTATTTTCACTCTATCTTATTAGTAGCATTTCAATATCAGAAATTCTTCCTTTAATTCCTTTTATTAAAAGGATGGGACTCACATGTTGTGTTCACAATAAATAAGATCATATAGTTAATTTTGGACTTCCGAGTAGGGATTTTCAGCATTTAAAAAAAAAAAAAGACCTTTTTTCAGTCGCTTTATTATATATTGATGTAATTCATATTATTACACCTGACAAGATACACAGAAATATTGCAGGCAGTAAATAGTGCAGTGTGTTGCTTTTGTCCTCTTCATTTAAAGTTTTTTTTTTTACTCTGCTGTTTTGAAGTCAAGTGACCCTTTTGTTGTTGTTGTTGTTTGTTTCTTTAAATAATGAATACCCAGAAATTGCATTGACTTGAAGTATGGATGTAGTGTTATAACATGATATCCTCTGAATCGTTGACATGCATTTTTATTAATGATTTATAGTAGTTGCTTATTTATTCATTTTCTGTGTAGTCACTTGTAACGTTGACATCTGCTGTGTGTTTGTGCAGTTTCTTTACTATTATTTAAATTGTGGTTTTGTTGTTGTTTAAATTCTAATCATGTTGAGCATGAATGCAAAAGGCTGGCACTGATGTGGTTTGCATGCTTGAGAAAACCTCTTTGTTGAATGGAAAACACAAAAGTATCATTTACATTGTGAAAATACAAAGTCCAGATTTCAGTTAGCAGTTTCAGTGGTTATCCTGAAAAGATATCTAACCAGATGAAAAGTAGAAGTCTGCTTTTCATTACGACCACAATCACAGACAAGTGAAAGTTGCGGTAAAAAAGTCTTCATCAGCTTCTTCTTCTCCTCCTCCTCGTCGTCCTGACATGAAATGCTTCATGGCGTCAGAGCAGGATAAGGTCTCTGGAACGGGCCCATCTGTTCGCTTCGTATAAAGTACTTTTCAGTGTCTCTGATATTTTTGCAGTCCATTTTCTGCGTAGTCGACCTCTGGGTCTTTTGCCGCCGTGTCTGTATAACATTACTCTCTATGGTGTCCTGTCTGCTGCCAATCTTGTTACATGGCCAAACCATTTGATTTTTTGTCTACCTATAAATTAGCACATGCATAAATAGATAGTGTTACACACGCAAACATCGTTTAAATGAGGTCTCTACAGAAAAGAAATCCATGAAAACCCACATCTGTCTAGCCAGTTGAAGCTCTGAGGCATGTGTGAATACCAGAGATAAATACTACCCCTGCCCCTCCCTCTCCCTAAATATGTAGAAGGCAGAGACTGACTCTAAAAATATTAGCTAATGCTGTGTTGGACATTGTTCCTTAGTCGATTACGGACTCTGTCATTTGAGTGGCTGTACTTGATGGCCGTAACCTCCGTGTCGAAAGCACCTTGTTGACCCTGAGAATTGAAATGTCATTGGTCAGTGACCTGTCATAGACACAGTTCATGTCCTCTGCGTCTTTAATTGTTTAGTTGGAGTCGCGTTTTACGAGTCAATATTTTTCTTGAATTTTAAATATTTTTGTTTGTTTGTTTGTTTGTTTTTATTTGAGGCTGTACAAATTGGTTAAAACCTATGCTAAAATAATGCTTTCCCTAAAGTTAAGCATTTGTGTTTTTAAAGAAACATTAACAAATCTACACTGCACACTTTGGTTACAGTTCAGTTGATATTTTTGTTATAGCTTTAGACATTCACACCACATTGACTGATTTAAAGTAAGTTAATTAAATTTAAAATATGTGTGGAATTCCACATCGTGATCATCATTCTCAGTTGCTTGAAATAAATGTTAAAACTTTTATTTGAACAAATGTTTACAGTGCAATGGGAATTAATGTTTCATGTATTGTACTTCAGAAAAATAATCACAGCAGTGTTTAGGTCTGGATGAATCCTACAGAATCTGGAGGAGAAGTTGTATTTTTGCAGTTAATAGACATTTCTGTTTGTGGTTCATGTTTTTATTTTATTCTCAGTCAGAAATTGACTTTGAGGTAAGCAATTTCCTATCAAAGTGGTACCGGTGCTCGCTGGCTTTATTCTGATATTATATTGTCCCGTTTCTTCTTCAGTAAATCTGGTATAAAGTTAATGTAGGCTGTTCATAAGTGAAATAGGTTTTGAATGTTTGAGAGGCGTTACAGTAAAACTTTTGCCTAGAAAAACCATAGGAGCAACAAAAAAAAATCTGGGGTTGGTTCTGCGATGTCCTGTAAAGGATAGGCAGTAAAATTAATCTTTTATTTACTAAGATAAAGGAAGTATAATAGTAATATTCCTGTGTGGGTTCTTGGACCCCATTCGAGAGGGGGGAATAGACCCACTGCCTCCCGTATAAGGATGTCATAGGAGGCCACTAATTAGGGGTGCTTTGAAGTTATAGTGCATCTTGCAGACTGGCGAGGGACCAACAGTCTGCAAACAAATAAGCCAGATCTTTAAAACGGATTTAGAGACAAAACTCAAGTAGTTGAGCATGACCAAAATCTGTAAGTGGATGAGCAACGAGAACTTTCCCGCCAAAGTTTATAATCTATGTACGCTTGAAATTAGAGCAAGAAGAGTAATTGTTTCCCATGTGGGTGAAAACAAGCATGTCATGAAGGTGACTAATAAAGGATATTTTGGGCTCAAAGGGGCAGATTTTCACTGCAAACCAACCGAATAAAGAAAAAAGGAGGGGAAAAAAAAGACAGTAAAATAGTAATGTAAGCTGTACAAGGGAAGTGACAAATGTGTAAAATACAGGTAATCTAAACACTTTTGATCCCAAGCAATGCCTGGTGTGTGGGTGACTCTATCCCTTGATTTCCTTCCATAGCATATTGTGTTTTCTTACTTACAATATTTAGTCAGAAGAGACTAATGAAATCTGGCTTCCTCACTGATATTTGTCATTATATATATTGCCAGTTTGAAAACTGAATTATTGATTTTTCTTCATGATAATTTCTTTGCTTTGAAATTAAATGTATTTGGCTGAAAGGCATAGACATCCCAGCCTTGATGTAAGTGCCAGCTGCCCTTTTAAGGATGAGTACAGAATGAACGAACAAAGTTTATTTTCAAAGGGTCAAGAATTGGGTGCGCAGGCCCGCTTTACATTGTGCCCTTGCAGTCTCACTCCTTGCATGCAGTTACTTTCTGTATGGATTCTGCAAGAATAGACCCAGTTACTCCCTGTGGGGGTTCTGCAAGAATAGACTCAGTTACTCCCTGTGGGGGTTCTGCAAGAATAGACTCAGTTACTCCCTGTGGGGGTTCTGCAAGAATAGACTCAGTTACTCCCTGTGGGGGTTCTACAAGAATAGACTCAGTTACTCCCTGTGGGGGTTCTGCAAGAATAGACTCAGTTACTTCCTGTGGGGGTTCTGCAAGAATAGACTCAGTTACTCCCTGTGGGGGTTCTGCAAAAATAGACCCAGTTACTACCTGTGAGGGTTCTACAAGAATAGACTGTTACCACCTGTGGGGGTTCTGCAAGAATAGACTCAGTTACTCCCTGTGGGGGTTCTGCAAGAATAGACTCAGTTACTCCCTGTGGGGGTTCTGCAAGAATAGACTCAGTTACTCCCTGTGGGGGTTCTGCAAGAATAGACTCAGTTACTCCCTGTGGGGGTTCTGCAAGAATAGACTCAGTTACTACCTGTGGGGGTTCTGCAAGAATAGACTCAGTTACTACATGTGAGGGTTCTGCAAGAATAGACTCAGTTACTCCCTGTGGGGGTTCTGCAAGAATAGACTCAGTTACTCCCTGTGAGGGTTCTGCAAGAATAGACTCAGTTACCACCTGTGGGGGTTCTGCAAGAATAGACTCAGTTACTCCCTGTGGGGGTTCTGCAAGAATAGACTCAGTTACTCCCTGTGGGGGTTCTGCAAGAAAAGACTCAGTTACTCCCTGTGGGGGTTCTGCAAGAATAGACTCAGTTACTACCTGTGGGGGTTCTGCAAGAATAGACTCAGTTACTACCTGTGGGGGTTCTGCAAGAATAGACTCAGTTACTACATGTGGGTGTTCTGCAAGAATAGACCCAATTACTCCCTGTGGGGGTTCTGCAAGAATAGACCCACTAACTTCCTGTGGGGGTTCTGCAAGAATAGACTCAGTTACTACCTGTGGGGGTTCTGCAAGAATAGACTCAGTTACTCCCTGTGGGGGTTCTGCAAGAATAGACTCAGTTACTACCTGTGGGGGTTCTGCAAGAATAGACTCAGTTACTCCCTGTGGGGGTTCTGCAAGAATAGACTCAGTTACTACCTGTGGGGGTTCTGCAAGAATAGACTCAGTTACTACCTGTGGGGGTTCTGCAAGAATAGACTCAGTTACTACATGTGGGGTTTCTGCAAGAATAGACTCAGTTACTACCTGTGGGGGTTCTGCAAGAATAGACTCAGTTACTACATGTGAGGGTTCTGCAAGAATAGACTCAGTTACTACCTGTGGGGGTTCTGCAAGAATAGACTCAGTTACTACATGTGAGGGTTCTGCAAGAATAGACCCACTAACTTCCTGTGGGGGTTCTGCAAGAATAGACTCAGTTACTACCTGTGGGGGTTCTGCAAGAATAGACCCACTAACTTCCTGTGGGGGTTCTGCAAGAATAGACTCAGTTACTACATGTGGGGGTTTTGCAAGAATAGACTCAGTTACTACATGTGAGGGTTCTGCAAGAATAGACTCAGTTACCACCTGTGGGGGTTCTGCAAGAATAGACCCAGTTACTACATGTGGGGGTTCTGCAAGAATAGACTCAGTTACTACATGTGGGGGTTCTGCAAGAATAGACTCAGTTACTACATGTGAGGGTTCTGCAAGAATAGACCCAGTTACCACCTGTGGGGGTTCTGCAAGAATAGACCCATTCCCCCAAACAAGTATGTCATTAAAGGTGACTAATGAGGTGAGTTTCCTTCAAAGTTGGAATGCATCTGTCTGAGAGGCAAGAAACCAACAATCTGCATATAATTAGACTCATACAACTGTAAACATCCACCATGAGACTTCTATTAGGCAAACATATCTAAAGTATAATGGTTAACAGTGTATGTCCACATTATGAAATAAGCATTATACTATCACATGTTATGATTAAAACCTGAGAACAGAGTAAATAGAAAGGCTTCACACTGGATGGCACAGGGGCATAGAAATAAGGGCAGATCAAAGAACACATTGAGAAAGGAGCTAGAGGTTAAAGTTAAAAAGATCCGGAGGACTGGGGTGAGCTACCTGCGATAGCAAAACATAGGAAAGCATGGTTTGAGTTGGTTGAGGGCCTATGCTCCATTGGGGGATAGAGGACAGAAGAAAAAGACAGATGTTTGCATTGTAATGGCTAGCTAAAAAAAAAAAAAATCAGCATTGAAATAAACATTAGACTTGGAAATACACAGATATGAATAATCACAAACAAATACATTTACTAACAATGTGTGATTTTGTTTAATTTCAAGTGTCCCCCCATCTCTTGCTAGCTCTCAGACTATCTGTAATCCCTTTGCAATGTGGCATGGCTTGATTTTTGTGCTTTGTGTTTAGCATGTAGCTTGTACGTCTGCCCGATAATTTTATCATTGCTCCTTCTCTATTTGTATCAATAAATTGTCCAGGTCCTAAAACATTTTACAAGTCAGTACATTCAGTTACCTTTCTTGGACAGCTCAGTCTTTTACTTAGTAATTACAACTTTTTATTAAAATGAACCTAATGTTAAATGGCGATTAACAGTGTTTTTAAAAAAAATAATTATCGGTAGTGCTGTCCATTTTTACCATTGTAAAAGTGATAAACAATTTTTACAATGTACCAAATATAGTTAAATTCCTTGGACAGGTTGCTCCTTTATTTGATAATTGAAACTTGTGTTCAGATGAACATATTGTAAGTGGTAATTCACAAATTCAGGCTTCAGCAAATAATTATATAAATTATTTTATAATTTCTGTTTGTGAATTCCATTATTTAGTTAGCATGACTAAATTTTGAAGAGGTGTACAAATTAGAATATTAAAATATTTAGTTATCATTTAATTGTTAACAAAGAGCCAAACATTTTTGCAGCTTGATTTCTGCCATTTTTTTCCACATGCTTTTTTTTCTTCTTTTTTTTTTCTTTCCTGATTTCCTAGTTTTAGTACCAAGAAACTGGTATTGAACTGGCTTCATTGTTACCTTTTTATTTTTCAAAATCAAACTTCATGCGCAGTAGCAGGAAGCCTGATATGTGCCTTAAGCACTTGTAAAATAGAAAACATCTTAATTCTGAAAATAATGTTGATGCAATCGTTATCATTTTCATTTGTTTTTTTTTTCATTGGAAGACAAAGTCTCAAATGTTACATAGAACCACTTCTAAGATATGGCTGTGAATCCAGAAATATAGTAAATGCACCACACACACAAAGACACACTAAAAGGCGTCAGTGATGTGGTTTTACAAAATATCATTAAAAGATATAAAACCGAACGATAAGAAGCTTCACAATATAACAGACACAAACAAGAACATGAACGTTGCAGCTATGGAGCCATCATCAGCACATACATAAATCAAACAAAACCACACTAACACACAAAATTGCTTAACTGAGTATCCAGAAGCAGCCACGTTGATGTCTTGCCAATGGAATGAGTGGACAGTGTGGGTTGCAAGAATAAATAACTGGAATGTCAAGGACCGTAACTCAAGAAATTTAGGTAAAACTGTGTTGACAGTTCAGTGCCCTGGGCATTAATGCGCCCAAAGTGAAAATAAAATTATTTTCAAGAGACTTACGGACTCTGTTGCTGGAGTGGTTTTACACAAAAATGCTTACATTTCCTTGTACAGTTAGAATGAGTAATCTGAATGTTTAGAAAGAAGCTAAGAAACAAATACAGCTTACCAGACGGACACAACCATCTTTTTTCTTTTCCACATTATGAGACAAGAAAAAATAAAATATGTTGTGTCAAGAAGAAAACTTTGTGGAAGGAGAGATATAAGAACACACACACACACACACACAAAAAGTAAGAAAAATTATTCTTGATGACCTTTTGTCATGGCCTGGAAAGGTGTCAGTTAAATTATAATGGCGTATTAGGATATTCAGGTTTTGTTTTTAAACATCTCATCGTCACACATTTAGCACACACAAAAAAACCACCATTATTTATCTCAGCTGGCATCTGATAATTAATAATATGCTAATGAGATGTAATAATATTCAGAAAAATTGACAGTTTTCATATCATTGTTGCATCAGGTGTATATATATATATATACACACCACACACACACCACACACACACACACTACACACACGTATTGTATACTTATCGGCATTTATATCTGAAAAAGGCCTCAGGAGTGACCAGAAGAGATTAGGGGGAAAAAAAGGCATAGAACCAGTTCTAAATTACCTTGGAAAGAATACCTGTGACCATGTATAATACAAGGCATAAACCAAAAAAGGAGAAGGATATAAAGTACAAAGTACACCAAGAACAAAACTCACAGATAACATCGGAGAAACTCTACAACAGCAAGATGTCTGTAGTCGGGGAGCTAGTAGAGCAAGAAGCAGAACCTTAAATCCTTTGACACCCAAAGTGATAAAAGAGAAATGGAAGAAGAATCAGCACTAAATGTGAAATAGGATCAACATAAGGTCGGTCACCTGTATTTCCCAGGACATTCCAATTTTAGACCGGGTCTGTCTGTGAGCCAAAGTCAATTATTTTAACAAAATCTGACAGTAGATGGATTTAAACTTAAGAACTTCAGGTCATCAAGCAAATGTCAATGCAGTACCCTGCTACCTAATTGAATTGGTAGTTTTACCTTATCTTTCACTTCACTTGCTAAAACGAATTTTTTTAAACTGTCACCACAGTCTTCTTCTTCACATTCCACGGCTGTAAACTCAAGCAGAAAGTTCTGTTTGTTTGTCCACTTTATTTTTGTTCCGGAACTTGAGTTCTGCAATCACATTCACATTACAGATCTGGCTTGTTTGTATGTATGGAAAGATATAAAACCGAACGAAAAATAGATCAACAAGCTTCACAATATGACAAACACAAATGGAAAGTGAATGTTGCGGCTACAGAACTTTCATCAGCACATACATAAGGCCACACAGAATCACTGAACTGATGTACCTCGAAGCAGGCACGTTGATGTCTTGTCAGTGGAATGAAACCATACATGTTGCCCAAGAATAACTAACCCGAGAATTCAAAGGGCCATAACTGAAAGATTTTACATGAAACTCTGTTGACAGTTTAGGTGTTTGTTTGTGTGTGTATCCAAGGTAAAAATAAAATGATTCTAAAGAGTGAAGTGGCTAGATTTAATGGCTATCACCTCCATTTCATGCAGACTGTTGGTTCTTTGCCTCTTAGGCATATGTACTCTGACTTCAAAAGAAATCCCTAATTATTCGACTCTCATGACATGCTTATGAGGGGGACATTCGGTCTGTTCTCTTCACCCCCACAAGAGGGCCCTGGAACCCACACAGAAATATCCCCTCTATCAAAAGTTAATGAAAGAAAACAATGGAAATCTAAATCTTTTTTTGTGTGTGCAGAAAATGATGGGCCAGCTAAGCTTGTTAAACATGGCATGTGCTGCCAAGGCAAGGGTGCGAACTGTAACCCTTACGAGAGCCACCCGGGAAGAAATGCTCAATTTCTCTATACTGGGCGGGTTGGAGAGAAACCATGGCATTTTTGTTACAAAAGTCCAACCTGGATCAAAGGCAGCAGAAGCAGGCCTCAAGAGAGGTGATCAGGTAAGTCATATTTTGTCTTAGGTTGTTAGAGGTGAAAGTCGAGAGGATCGACTTCATTGCACCAGGTTGTATCCCCTAATGGCTCAGTCTCCCTCCGCAGAATGGCTAGCCGCTTGCCGAGAATATCACAGAAAGCATGAACTCTGTGTAGGGGGCTGCGTGGTCTCGAGGCATGGCATCTGCTTTGAGCCCTGGAGGGCCCGGGTTCAAGCCCCGGTGAAGGCTAGGATTTTTCCACATGGACTTCTAGTAATTTCCCCGGAGTGCCCGGGTAAAATTTAAAATTTTAAAAATGTACCTAAAGTATTTCAGGATCCTCGCCGATGCTACCGAGTTTGTGCACTGCGCTGAGATTCTTGGGACTCAGGCTCAAGTCAGAAGTAGAATGGAGCAGTTATGGGTCACTGCCCTTGTGCCATAATGTTGATCCGTCGTCTAAACCTAAACCTAATCTGTAGCTTCAGTGATGGCCCTAGGGATCCCTGTAAAAATTGCGTTCATAAAACGAATGACACAGCCTGCGACATGAACCCTTGAACTTAAGAGTGCAAGGCGAATCGTCCTAGGGACCTCCTGTATCTGAGGTTGTGTGGAGTTGATTGCTATTAGGCAGGTCTAATGTTTGGTGTTGGTTGCTAACATAATCTTTTGAAATCTGGCCATGGCATTCTTAGACGAACTATATGTTTATTTGTATATGTCTCTGTTTCTGATATATCATTGTGTTTCTGTCTATCTCACTCTGTCTTTCTGTATGCCTATGTCTGTCTCAGTCTGTGTCACTCTCTCTCTCTCTCTCTCTCTCTCTCTCTCTCTCTCTCTCTCTCTCTCTCTCTCTCTCTCTCTCTCTCTCTCTCTCTCTCTCTGTATGAATATCTCAGTCTCTCTCTTTCTTTCTATCTCCCTCTATGTCTGTCTCTGTTTATCTCACTGCCTCTCTCTGTATGGAAGTCTCTCTCTTTATCTCTTGCTATCTCCCTCTGTCTCTCTCTCTCTCTCTTAATGTCCGTTTCTGTCTCACTCTGTCACTGTCTCTCTCTCTATATAACTGTCTGTCTCAGTGTCTAACTCCCTTTATCTCTGTGCTCTTTCTATCTCCCCCACCCTGTATCAGTATTTCTAGGTCTCTGTCTCTATGTCCTTGTCTACCCACTGTCTCTCTCTCGCTGCCTATATCTGTCTGTGTCAGTGTTTCTCAAATAGTCACTATTTTAGTCTTTGTCTCTAACAGTTTCTCTGTCTCTGTTTGTCACTGTGTTTTCTGTCTATCTCCTCCTACTCCCATCTTCCACCCACCCATCCTCACATAAATATACGATCACTCTGTCGCTGTCTCGATCTGTCTGTGTATTCATGAATGTGATAATTTGCACATGTGCTGTTAGTCGTGTCTATGTTCATAGAGCAGGCTCCGTTATAGAAACAACCAGTAACAAAAATTGTCTGCCCTCTTTTTTCCCTCCAGATCCTGGAGGTAAATGGCCAGAAGTTTCAGCAGATTTACTACAACAAGGCCCTGGAAATACTTAGGGGCACAACACATCTGTCCATCACAGCCAAGTCAAACTTGCAAGGTCTGTGCTCATTTGTTTATTTCCTAATCACTTCGCTGCCTAGTCAGCACTTCTGGTTACTATGTTGCTGTTGGAGGCTCCAATATAACTGTTACACGGTTGAACAGGGTTCGGGATTTGTACGTGTTTGATTCTCATCCTTGAGATGTTGATCCTACAGACAGCAAACCTGGAAGGGGCGAACTTACTTCTTACCATTTATTTATTTCTGAATTATTTCCCCGCTTATTTTCCCTTGGGACTTTAGGTTACTACATAGCCGTTGGGGGCCCAACTATAACTGTTATACTGTAGAACAGGGCTTCTTGGAGTTGTACCTGTTTGATTCTCATTCTTGAGGTGTAAGTCAGACAGAATGCAGTCCTGGAGGGACGAACTACCTACCTGCCATTTCTTTATTTCTGTCGTACAGAGTTGCCGGATGGTTGCTTGGTTGACTGATTAGTAAGGTGATTGTTTGATTGAAAGAATAGATGGCTGGTTGATTGAATAGCTTGTTTGTTCATTGCCTGGGTAATTGTGTGATGGGTTGATTGGTTTTTTGACTTATTGTTTTATTAGGTGATAGGTTGGTTATCTATTTGGTTAACTGGTGAGTTTGTGTATTCTTTGGTTGATTGAGTATTTGGTTAACTGGTGGGTTCGTGTATTCTTTGGTTGATTGAGTATTTGGTTAACTGGTGGGTTCGTGTATTCTTTGGTTGATTGAGTATTTGGTTGATTATTGATTAGATTATTAGTTGGTTGTTTTTTGTGTGTGTGGGTTAATTGGTGGGTTATTAAATTGTTTGGTGGTTGATTGAGTATTTGGTTGGTTGATTGATTGGTTGGTGATCGAGTATTTGGTTGGATGATTGATTTTTTTGATTATTTATTTGTTTGGTGGTTGATTGAGTAGTTGGTTGGTTGATTGACTAGTTGAATGATTGGTGTTTGAGTATTTGGTTGGATATTGATTAGTTGATTATTTATTTGGTTAATTGATGGGTTAGTAAATTGTTTAGTGGTTGATTGAGTATTTTGTTGGTTGATTGATTCGTTGAATGATTGGTGATTATTTAGTTTGATGATTGAACAGTTGGTTGTTTATTTTGTTGGTTGGATGATTGATTATAATATAGGTAATAAACTTTTACTATAGGTTAGAATTTGTAATATATAATTATTTTGTAATTTTTTTCAAATAGCTTTTTGTATATTATAAATCTTAATATATAACATTTTACTGCATTAAGGGAGTAAAACTTTGATATCAAATAACCTTTAACTTTACTGGGATTCTTAAAGTTAAAGGTTAAAGGTTATTTGATATCAAAGTTTTACTGGGATTCGCGTGGATTTGTGTCGTGGTATGGGACGTCGCAGGTCGACCCAGCCTAAAATGGGTACCAGGATGGGCTGTCTGGGGAAAGTAAAGACAGCCGGCGTAATGCTGACCACATTACCCACCGAGTGCTGATGGTCTGTAAAAATATGGGACGCTCTGCCCATATGCCCGATGCGCCGAAAGGCGTGAAAAGGGATCTTTACTTTACTTTACTTTACTTTTTTACTGGGATTCGAATATCTGGTAGATAATTTTGAACATTAGAGCTATGATGTTTCCATTGTGTAGATAATTTTGAACATTAGAGCTATGATGTTTCCGTTGTGTAGATAATTTTGAACATTAGAGCTATGATGTTTCCGTTGTGTAGATAATTTTGAACATTAGAGCTATGATGTTTCCGTTGTGTAGATAATTTTGAACATTAGAGCTATGATGTTTCCGTTGTGTAGATAATTTTGAACATTAGAGCTATGATGTTTCCGTTGTGTAGATAATTTTGAACATTAGAGCTATGATGTTTCCGTTGTGTAGATAATTTTGAACATTAGAGCTATGATGTTTTCCGTTGTGTAGATAATTTTGAACATTAGAGCTATGATGTTTCCGTTGTGTAGATAATTTTGAACATTAGAGCTATGATGTTTCCGTTGTGTAGATAATTTTGAACATTAGAGCTATGATGTTTCCGTTGTGTAGATAATTTTGAACATTAGAGCTATGATGTTTCCGTTGTGTAGATAATTTTGAACATTAGAGCTATGATGTTTCCGTTGTGTAGATAATTTTGAACATTAGAGCTATGATGTTTCCGTTGTGTAGATAATTTTGAACATTAGAGCTATGATGTTTCCGTTGTGTAGATAATTTTGAACATTAGAGCTATGATGTTTCCGTTGTGTAGATAATTTTGAACATTAGAGCTATGATGTTTCCGTTGTGTAGATAATTTTGAACATTAGAGCTATGATGTTTCCGTTGTGTAGATAATTTTGAACATTAGAGCTATGATGTTTCCGTTGTTCTGTTAAGTCATTACAATTATCCAACCCTGACATTTTCTTGCAGAGTTCAAGGAAATGTTACGAGCTTCAGAGAAGGTCACCCCTCGTAAAGTCAAGCGAGACGATGGAAATGTACCCAACCCAAAACAAAGACTCTCAGTACCCGACCTTGACTCCTCAGTGCCCATGTTCCACTTGGATTTAGCCGATGACAAGAAAGTTGAGAAGCGTGGGGGGATATTTGGTACCAACTCTCGCCTGCGGAAAGCATTGACTCGAATAAACATTATACCTAAAAACTTAAATGGGTAGGTATGAGAAACTGGAAATGATTATTTAGAACTGATATCCTGGCACTCAGTGCAGACCAATAAGGGCTCTGTCTTCAGTAGCATGCATGATACTATCTTCTAGATAACAGTTTAATAGATGGAAGAACTGAGGTCTTGGGAGCAGGTGGTGGATAGAGCTTGAGAGTAGCCAACAGATAGTTGTTGGTCTTAGTCTCAAGTTCCCTAACAGTAGACAGAGGATCACACAGTACTGACAAGGCTACGCTTATGTGACCAGTATAGTCACCTGACCAGTGTAGTCACCTGACCAATATAGTCACCTGACCGGTATAGTCACCCAACCAGTATAGTCACCCAACCATTATATATAGTTAACCGACCACTATTGTCTCTGCAAAGAAGAATAGCAATGGCAAACTACTTTCTTAAAAATGACAACCAATATTCATGATTTCACAAACATTTGTTGGACGGAAGGGGAGGAGAAGACAAGAACACTGACTTTTTACATGGTAAAATGGGATGGCGAACCATAACAGCCTGCGTTCATCAATACAGCACATCTTGATGATGAGAATTAAAGAGGGAAAGATATAAAGACTGATCCAGCTGGCAATAAGCAGAAGGTCTTGACAACACTTAGTGCACAGGTTTAAAGAGGAGCAGTATCTATCTTTCCTTCCCATATGTTTCCTTCTTCTTCTTTGCGTTTTGTATGCTCAGGTCAGACCATCAGGTGGGTCGCCGCTATGAACTCGCATGTCAGCGGCAGGTCCTTCATGGTTCCCCATAGCTTGCTCTGCCCACTTTGCTCTTGAGGCTAGGTGTCTTTTCGAAGTTGTAGGTAGAGTAGCCAGGTCAGCAGAATGTGCTCAGGTGTTGGTTGTCCCGTCTGACGTGCACACTGTACAATTTGAGGTTAGTCTTTTGTTGAATTTGACTCCCAAATCTGTGGGGTTGTCCTCTTTTGAAATGATGTTGCCTTCTGGGTACAGATCAACTTGTTCTAGCTTTGTGGAAAGAGAGAAGAGAGTCATGACGGTTTTGGTCTGGTTTATTGTGACTCCCTTAGTGTCTTGTCCATTTCTTAATTGTATTTATAGCTTCCTGCTTTCTAGTTTTGTTGTTCCTATATGTTCAGGTTGGCCAGGTCATCTGCATGTAGAGCCTTGTGAACTGTTTGGGGAGGTCATTGATGGAAATTAGAAAGCCTCCTTGTGTACTGCTGGCCTTAAATTATAGGTCATTCCAGAGAAGGGCTGGATGCTACAGAAACATGGTTTTTTAACTACTTTATGATCTCAAATATGAGATTTCTTAAAAACCATAACATTTAAATGTATATATAATATTTCCTTCTTTCTATCCATCATTCTTTCCATTTTTAGGTCATATTTTTAATGACATAATAATACAACTAAAGAAAATATCAGTTGCTCTAATTTAAAAAAATCATAATTAGTATTAATTATTTCCATAAGGGTAATTCTTTCACATTACAAGTGTTTATAATTAATTTTTTCCCCATAATTCATTCTATCCAAGCGACTTAACACGTGTTGAACAATCATTATATGCATGCTGTTTCCACAGATCGTTGGATCCAAGCAACTCAATCATATGTTCATTAACTGCTCTTTACTTCACAAACTTTGGTTAACACTTACTGAAAATGAGACTTTCTCTAGCCCCTCATCATGAACACTTGAAAATCCCAGTGGCGGATATTGCCCTTCCATCATGAGCACTTGAAAATCCCAGTGGCGGATATTGGCCTTCCATCATGAGCACTTGAAAATCCCAGTGTCAGATACTGGCCTTCCATCATGAACACTTGAAAATCCCAGTGTCGGATATTGGCCTTCCATCATGAGCACTTGAAAATCCCAGTGTCAGATACTGGCCTCCCATTGTGTAAGAGTGTGAAACGCCAACATGATGGTAGGAAGCAGTTAATTAACATGTATTCAGTCTTTCACTCCCATAAAGTTTAGCATCAGATACCTTGAGGTTACCCAGTGCTTTTTGTTTTTCTAGAAGAAAGGTTTTGGTACTCACCACAAAGTGTCAAAATAAGGTGCCTGTACTCATCACAAAGTGTCAAAATAAGGTGCCTGTACTCATCACAAAGTGTCAAAATAAGGTGCCTGTACTCATCACAAAGTGTCAAAATAAGGTGCCTGTACTCATCACAAAGTGTCAAAATAAGGTGCCTGTACTCACCACAAAGTGTCAAAATAAGGTGCCTGTACTCATCACAAAGTGTCAAAATAAGGTGCCTGTACTCATCACAAAGTGTCAAAATAAGGTGCCTGTACTCATCACAAAGTGTCAAAATAAGGTGCCTGTACTCACCACAAAGTGTCAAAATAAGGTGCCTGTACTCACCACAAAGTGTCAAAATAAGGTGCCTGTACTCACCACAAAGTGTCAAAATAAGGTGCCTGTACTCATCACAAAGTGTCAAAATAAGGTGCCTGTACTCACCACAAAGTGTCAAAATAAGGTGCCTGTACTCACCACAAAGTGTCAAAATAAGGTGCCTGTACTCATCACAAAGTGTCAAAATAAGGTGCCTGTACTCATCACAAAGTGTCTATTACAGTAGTGCTGAAAAAATAAAAGGATGCCGGTACTGTGTACCACTGCGTGACACCAGAAAAAACAAACTGTCAAATAATGATGAAATGATGTAGTTATTATTTTCAAAGAGGTTAAATGCACATTGAAAATGGCAGCTGTGGAAAACACATTTCTTCAGTGTGCATTATGATTTTTTTTTTTTTTAACACATGGGAGCCACAGTTGTTCAGTTCAGCTACTAGACATTTGTCAGCCCAGACAAGAGTATGTCAGCTCAGTTGCTTGTCTTTCAGCCCAGACAAGAGTATATCAGCTCAGTTGCTTGTCTGTCAGCCCAGACAAGAGTATGTCAGCTCAGTCGCTTGTCTGTCAGCCCAGACAAGAGTATGTCAGCTCAGTTGCTTGTCTGTCAGCCCAGACAAGAGTATGTCAGCTCAGTCCCTTGTCTGTCAGCACAGACAAGAGTATGTCAGCTCAGTCGCTTGTCTGTCAGCCCAGACAAGAGTATGTCAGCTCAGTCGCTTGTCTGTCAGCCCAGACAAGAGTATGTCAGCTCAGTCGCTTGTCTGTCAGCTCAGTCGCTTGTCTGTCAGCCCAGACAAGAGTATGTCAGCTCAGTCGCTTGTCTGTCAGCCCAGACAAGAGTATGTCAGCTCAGTCGCTTCTCTGTCAGCCCAGACAAGAGTATGTCAGCTCAGTCGCTTCTCTGTCAGCACAGACAGGAGTATGTCAGCTCAGTTGCTTGTCTGTCAGCCCAGACAAGAGTATGTCAGCTCAGTCGCTTCTCTGTCAGCCCAGACAAGAGTATGTCAGCTCAGTCGCTTCTCTGTCAGCCCAGACAAGAGTATGTCAGCTCAGTCGCTTGTCTGTCAGCCCAGACAAGAGTATGTCAGCTCAGTCGCTTGTCTGTCAGCCCAGACAAGAGTATGTCAGCTCAGTCGCTTGTCTGTCAGCCCAGACAAGAGTATGTCAGCTCAGTCGCTTGTCTGTCAGCCCAGTCAAGGGTATGTCAGCTCAGTCGCTTCTCTGTCAGCCCAGACAAGAGTATGTCAGCTCAGTCGCTTCTCTGTCAGCCCAGACAAGAGTATGTCAGCTCAGTCGCTTGTCTGTCAGCCCAGACAAGAGTATGTCAGCTCAGTCGCTTGTCTGTCAGCCTAGACAAGAGTATGTCAGCTCAGTCGCTTCTCTGTCAGCCCAGACAAGAGTATGTCAGCTCAGTTGCTTGTCTGTCAGCTCACTTGCTTGTCTGTCAGCCCAGACAAGAGTATGTCAGCTCAGTCGCTTGTCTGTCAGCCCAGACAAAAGTATGTCAGCTCAGTCGCTTCTCTGTCAGCCCAGACAAGAATATGTCAGCTCAGTCGCTTGTCTGTCAGCAGAGTGGTATTTTCTTCAAGTCTGCATCTGGTCAGATGTTCTTATAATTGACTTAGGCTCCCAGGTTGACCCAACCTCGATTGAGTACCAGGAAATGTCTAGGGAAATAAAAGGTGTTAAGAGTGAGGTTGACCACAGTAAGCCATAGAGTGCTGATTCATTGATAATAATATGGGACAAGTACCATGTGCCGCTAGCATGAAGTGAAAAGGGTCCTTTAAAAAAAAACACTTCTGAGAGAGCACTTGATGCGATGATTGGTGTTCAAGGAATATAGCCAGCTATACATCTTGCGTTCCTTGGTACTGAAAGGGTTGATTTGCTATGTGTCTTCTTCTTTCTCCTCCCCCTCACCCTCTTCTTCTTCTTCTTCTTCTTTTTCTTCTTAGCATTCACTGGCTGTAAACTCTGGTGGAAAGTTCTGGTTGTTCGTCCACTCGTTAACTTTAGTCCTGTTCCAGAACTTGAACTTTGCATGCACATCTGTTTTATGTATCTGCTTATTTGAATGCAGAGTGCTGGTCCTTTGCCTCTCAGGCAGATGTGCTCCAACTTTAAAGGTAAAATCCCAGAGAACTCACACAGGAAGTTTGCTCAGTATAAAATAAGTAAAAAATCAAAAACATGTTTTCGTAAAGTTACTAATGTGTGGATTTCCACAGCAAAGAGACCGCTTCCATAAACCACTCAGATGAAAGCCTGTACTCGAAGCCCTCCAGGAAGTCCTCCACATCCTCCTCCTCATCCAATCCTGGCAGTACCTTGAGCAGTCATTTAAGTGCAAGTAATCCGGATATCACATTAGCTGGGCTCGGAGTGGATGTCCGCAGTGATGTGCCGGAGCATGCAGTCAAAGTATTCCGATCCGACCAGTCTTTCAAGTACTTGTTGATTCATAAAGTGAGTGACTGTTGCTGCTGTAGATTTGACTTTATCCTAGTGATCATGAGCTGGTTGCTCTCGACACCCAGTTCTATTCTTAAGAAGGTTGATTTTATTTAGACAGTTGTTTTTTTAAGCATCAGGTAAAATTTTGACTTATGATCTCTACCAAATTTTCTTTTTTCTCAGTGTGGTTTCAGCAGCCTTTGGGGGAGGCGGTGGGGAGAAAGAGAAGGAATAGACTCATTATTCCCCCCCCCCCCACCAAAGGTGACTAATTAACTGTTAGCTGAAATCATATGTATTGGGTCGAAAGGAAGTGCAGATTGTGAGCCTAGCTGGAAAGCACACAGCATACAGTGTCAGTTACTCTTTTTATGGTGAATGCAGAACAAGACAATTGTTCTTTTTAAAAACAGGAGTTTTCCTGTACTTGTATGCAGATACTCTACCTTAGTATGTGAGGATAGTCACCATTTGGGAAGGACAGTTTTTGTTTGACCAATAAAATGCAGGGTGAGGGCATGCTACAAACAGCATCTATCTTGTCCCTTCATGTCCTACAATTGTTGTTTATTACAAACAGCATCTTGTCCCTTCATGTCCTACAATTGTTGTCTATTACAGTGTCTGTAAGTGTTTATAGTAATATTATATTTTTGTTAATGTTTACAAACTTCAGTTTGTTGTCAATCCTTTACAGCAGGGTTCCACAACCTTTTTTGCACCCACGACCCACCAAAACAGGAGATATTGTTTTGCAGACCACCCTCCAACTAACTAAAGAAGGCAACCATCTTAACCGCCAGGTTACACAACAGTTGGATGCCCTAATATAACTATGTTTTATGCAGTTGAACAAGGGTTTCCGACATTCGTATGTGTTTGATTCTCATCCCTGATGTGTTAATCCTACAAACTGCAATCATGGAAGAAACAAAAACTACTATTCCCTACCAAGTTGCATTATTTGGTAGATAATTTTGGCAACCCACATGAAATTTTCCCTGGCCCACTGGTTGAAGAACATGGCTTTACATCACTTTGCACACCAACCTTGTAAATTTACCATTCGGTTTAGCTTTCTGTTGTTTGCCTTTGCTTGCCTTTATTTACAAGTTCTCTTTTCTCTTTATAATTTTATCTTGTTTTCTTAGGAGACTACGGCGAAGGAAGTGGTGATGCTTGCACTGCAAGAGTTTGGTGTTACGGAGCCTAGCTGGTAAGAAATCTGGCCACATCCTGTAAATTAAAATTTCTTGTTATGCTCAAATTTGGGCTTTTGGGGAAAATGTGAAACCACTGGTATAGTACATTGCATGCTTACATAGAAGTATGTACACAGAGTGATGTGTACATAAACGTATCTACGTAAAAGGATATGTGCATAAAAATATTTACATAAAAGAGTGCGTAGATGAAAAGTTGTGTCCATAAAAGTATGTTTACATAAATGCATGTAAATACAAAGGATGTGCACATAAAATTAAATTCGCATAAAAGGATGATCACATAAAACGATGTGCAGTTAAAGTATGTCTGCATAAAAGGAGGTGCACAAGAAATGATTTGCACATAAAAGTATGTCCGCATAAAAAAATGGCATATATATAAGAGGATGTGCACATAAAGTGTGTCACATAAAATGATGCACACATAAAAGATTGTGCACATAAAAAAATGTGCATAAAAAAGAATGTGCACATAAAATTAAATTCGCATCAAAGGATGATCACAAAAAACAATGTGCAGTAAAAGTATGTCTGCATAAAAAGATGTGCATATAAGAGGATGTGCACAAAAAAGAATGTGCACATAAAAAGATGTGGACCTTAAAGTGAGGGACACTTTCTTCTCCCTTGGGGTGTATTAAGTATGTGATGCTAGTCTCATATTTGTGTATAGATGAGTTAAAGTTAGTTGTGTATCCTTTACAGGACATTGCAGAACCAACCTCAGCATTTTTTGGCTGTTGTGGTTTTTCTAGGCAGACTTACATCCAGTAGTTTGCCCTTGCTTTCTGGGTGGTTGGCTTCTCGATTCTACTGTCGAAACCGCAGCTGGGATCGAACCTGGCACCCCAGCATTGTGAAGCATGTTCGCAACACCTAAGCCACAGATGCTGGTGTATAGATGAGGGATGTGGTTAATATTATGGTAGCCTGGTCACCGTGCCTGCTATGCGGCCTTAAATCTTGAGACTCAAGACCCGCTTGTCTCACAATGCAATCGGTCATATCAGTCAGCCGATCATGTATACAGTGAAAGTTGGCTGAAATGAATCTCCAACACTCTCTATCTCTTGTCTTCTTAGTGCACTCTATCTGACTGCTTTTCATCCATTCTCTTGATATGTCTTCCTACGTGTGTCATTGTTTGCCTTTTGCTCTCTTACGTTAACGTTTCCTTCCAAGATGGTTTTTAAAAGAGTGTTATGTCTTTTAATGGGGCCGAAACACTTTAGTTGTCTCATTTTTTTATATTTCAGTAACTCTTTTTCATTCGCAGTCGGAACCTCTGAATTTTTTTTGTTTTTGTTTCCATCAAATACAGCCTATTCTCCTGTATATCCACATTTCCAGAGACTCAATTTGATTTTCTCATGTTTTGTTCACTGCAGTAAGTTAATTTAAAGAAAGAAATAAAAGAACTAAAAATAGTCTCTTAACCCTGTCACTTTGAGAAGCCACAAAACCGACACTTCCGGTTAGGTCCATTACCCTGTTAATGTACATTTTTCGACTTTTTTTTTTTTTTACCGTGACAAGTTTACAATATGCATAGGCAAGGCTTACACCTGCACAAACATTTTGGAGATCATGATATGAATATACTAGCTGTTATTAGAATTCAGGGGTGTCTTCCTGTGAACTAAATGTCTTTTTAACACCAATTTGACATCCAATTTTCCCATAAGCCTAAGTGATCTAGGTCACTTGATACATAATTGTTTTTAGACCCTTGAGAATGTTTTCTTTTTAATGCTCCAATCTGTACATGTTTATTGATTACTCCTTTTATGTCTTTATGTATTTTGAAGAAAAAAAATGTTATGTAGATAAATAAATTTCTTTTACAGATTTATTGTTGAGCCATGAAAAAGTTGTTTTTTGTTTGAAGAATTTTTTCTGGAATTCCCAGGGGGTCATGATCCATTTTTATTAGCATTTCAAGGCTACTGTACATAATGCTGATAGTTAAAGTAATCATTTCCTAACCAGTCATTTGTTTTCTTTATTCAGTAACTTTTCCCTGTGTGAGGTCACAGTTGAGATGGAAAAGTTTGTGAAAACCAAACGTTTACCAGACTGCCTCAACAACCTACCGGAAAGATTAAATCTCAACGGACGGTAAGCTAAATATTGTGTCTTCTAATATCCCCCTGTTTGTTCCGGGACCCCATTTTGGTGGGGGGGGGGGGGGGGGGGGGATTAATAAAAAAGACTGCCTCCCTATCAAGCATGTTGTAAAAAAAAAAAGATTAATTCAGGAATTTTCCTCTGAAGTGGAATGCCTCTGCCTGAGAGATGAGGAACCAACAGTCTGGTTATAAATAAGCCAGATCTGTAAAACGGATGTGCATGCATAATTCAAGTTCTGAAAAAAGACTGAAATGGATGACCAACCCGAACGTTCTGCCGGAATTTACAGTGAAAACTAAGAAAAGGAAATCTTCTAATGTTCTCTTGTTCCATGAGATTGCAGTGTTTAGCACAGTTGTTACTCATGTTCTTGTCTCATATAGTAGTTATATCCTCATTTTGTATGACCTACCACTTATATGTATTAAGTTGAGCATGCTGTTACTCATGTTCTTGTCTCATATAGTAGTTATATCCTCATTTTGTATGTCCTACCACTTATATGTATTAAGTTGAGCATGTTGTTACTCATGTTCTTGTCTCATATAGTAGTTATATCCTCATTTTGTATGTCCTACCACTTATATATATAAAGTTGAGCATGCTGTTACTCACTGTCAGTTAATCACGGGCCATCTCCAAAGTGAAGGTCGGCTGCAATGTGGATCTCCAACACACGCTGCCTCTTGTCTTGGCTGTACGCTGTCTCTTGTCTTAGCTGGACGCTGTCTCTTGTCTTGGCTATATGCTGTCTCTTGTCTTGGCTGTACGCTGTCTCAGACTGCTGTTTGTCCAGCTCTGTTTTCCTCCAGCTGGTAGTGTTGTTAACTCTTGTCCTCGACCTTTCCCTCCAGTATGGTTTTTAAAAAGTGTTTTATCTTTTAATGTGGTCATATAAATCTTTTTAAATAATTTATTTCTGTAAAGGCTTCATTTGCAGTCCCTACAGAACCTCTGTATATGATTGTTTTTTTTTCCCCACTATAAAATGTGACTTATTATTAAGTAGATCTTACCCTATCTACCCAGGTATTACCTCAGGAACAACCTGGTCACAGAGCAGCTGGTCCCCGATGACCTCATTGGGCAGCTGTTGGCTGAGAGCCAGATCAGCTTGCTACAGCTGAATACACACGAACTAGCATGGCAGCTGACCCTCAATGACTATCGTGTGTTCCGGGAGATCGAGCCCACAGAATATGTGGATGATCTGTATGGGCTGGAATCTAAATACGGGTGTCAGCAGCTTCACAAGTTTGCAGAAGTAAGTGGGAAGGAGGTTCATTTGTCTTCTTCTTCTTCCCCTTCACCAGCTGTAAACACTGGCGGAAAGTTCTGGTTGTCCATCCACTTTAGGACTGCAGTCCTGTTCCAGAACCTGAGTGTTGCGGGTGCATCCATTTTACAGATCTGATTTGTTTGTGTGCAGACTGTTGGTTCCTTGCCTCTCAGGCAAATGCACTCCGACTTCGAAGGAAGCTCCCAATTAGTCGACTCTTACGACATGCTTTTGGGTAGTCAGTGCGTCTATTTTTGTTTTCCCTATAATAGGGCCCCGGAACCCACCCGGGGAGGTTCAGTTGTGACCAGCATGGCACAACATGGTGGTAATGTTTTATAGTATAAAAATATCCCCATGTGGGTTCCAGGGCCCCATGGTGGAAGAAAAATAAGGGAAGAGACCCCCCCCACCCTCCTTTAACAAACATGTCATAAAGGCTAACTAATTAGGGGTGTTTCCTTCAAAGTCAGAGTGTATCTACCTGATAAATAAGGAATCAGCAGTCTGCATACAAATAGGGCAGATCTGTAAAATAAAAATGCATGCAAAACTCAGGTTCTGGAACAAGTCTAAAGTCAAAAAGTGGATGATCAACTCAATTGTGCACCAAAATTAACAGCCGCTGAAAGCTAACAAGAAGAAGACAGTATTTTAAAAGAAAAAAACTCTTTGACATCAACCCTCTTACGCAATAGCAAGGGAGAAGTCGCTTTTAGCTTAAGAATGTGGCTAGTTTAGTCGCCACGAACTGTGCAGGTTTTGAAATTATTTTTTGCTTCCAACAACGGCAAAAATTACCATCATCTTACTGAGGATGTGAACCCAGGTCTCCCAAGTGAGAGACCAGTGTTCTAACTGCTCGGCCACATTCTCCTCATTGTAATATAAACAATATTATTCCTATTATCCTAAATTGTTACTGTTTCAAACCACTCGGCTATATGCTCCTCATTGTTATATAAACAATATTATTTTGTATTATCCTATACTGTTACTGTTTCAAACCACTCAGCCAGATGCTCCTCATTGTAATTTAAAAAGTGTTATTTTGTATTATCCTATATTGTTACTGTTTCAAACCACTCAGCCAGATGCTCCTCATTGTAATTTAAAAAGTGTTATTTTGTATTATCCTATACTGTTACTGTTTCAAACCACTCAGCCAGATGCTCCTCATTGTAATTTAAAAAGTGTTATTTTGTATTATCCTATACTGTTACTGTTTCAAACCACTCAGCCAGATGCTCCTCATTGTAATTTAAAAAGTGTTATTTTGTATTATCCTATATTGTTACTGTTTCAAACCACTCAGCCAGATGCTCCTCATTGTAATTTAAAAAGTGTTATTTTGTATTATCCTATACTGTTACTGTTTCAAACCACTCAGCCAGATGCTCCTCATTGTAATTTAAAAAGTGTTATTTTGTATTATCCTATACTGTTACTGTTTCAAACCACTCAGCCAGATGCTCCTCATTGTAATTTAAAAAGTGTTATTTTGTATTATCCTATACTGTTACTGTTTCAAACCACTCGGCTATATGCTCCTAACTGAATATAAACATTCTTTTTTTCACAATATCCTACCATAATTTTCTGTGTATAAGACAATAGATAATGCTTTCTCAGATTTTTTACATTTGCAGTTTGTGGTCTTCTTATTCAAGGAATGTGTTTAAAATTTTCATGTCTTTATTGTGGGCTGAAGATAATAGGGGTTCACTAAATGGCTAGCCTCGTGCAGTGAGCATTGCACTAAAAGTGAACTTTATAGCTCTATCGACAGTTCCCAGGGTTCTCCTTAAAAACTGCACTCGTGAACTGAATGACACATTCATGAAATGAAACCATGACCTTTTGAGTGTGAGGCAAACAGCTTGGCCATGGAAATCCCCGATTTGAACATGAAGTTGTCTGGTAAAAGCACACGCAGTCAACAGAGTTGAGGTTGGGACATCCTTTAAAGCAGTGGTTTTCAACTTGTGGGTCGGACCCTTTTGGCCTAAGACCATTAAAAAAACACATATTCACTGAAGGAATGAAGTAGAAATGAAAATAATTTTATGGTTGGGGGGTCACCATAACTTGAGAAACTGTAATAACGAGTCGTGGCATTAGGACGTTTGAGAACCAGTGCTGTAAAGGATATGCAGCTAACTTTCTTTTCAAACTGTAATAATGCAGCAATTTGTGATAATAACTGAATGAACAGACAGACTTTATTTTAAAAGGGTTAAGAATTGGTCACACATCCAGTTCCCTTCCTTGCCTACAGTAGCTGTTTCATACATTATATAATAATTAGTTCACTGAAGACACTAACACTATATGCATTTCTCTGCCTGCCCTGCAGCTGGTGAACAAAGAGATGTTTTGGGTTATAACTGAGATCTGCAGTGAAAACAATCTAGTCAAGCGAACCAAACTGCTGAAGCACTTTATTGAAATTGCAAGTAAGTAAACCAACACAAGCCTTAATGAGTGAATAATTGGTTGGTTGGTTGTTGAAAATCCTGAAAGGACTTGAGCTTTAACTGAAAACTCTGGTGCATGGACCTTCAGATTATTGAATCCTCTGGAGAAATAAGTTTTTACTGAAAACTCTGGTGCATTGATGCTCAGATGATTGAATCCTCTAGAGGAATGTGTTTTAACTGAAAACTCTGGTGCATTGATGCTCAGATTACCTTAAAACTCTGGTGCATTGATGCTCAGATTACCTTAAAACTCTGGTGCATTGATGCTCAGATTACCTTAAAACTCTGGTGCATTGATGCTCAGATTACCTTAAAACTCTGGTGCATTGATGCTCAGATTACCTTAAAACTCTGGTGCATTGATGCTCAGATTACCTTAAAACTCTGGTGCATTGATGCTCAGATTACCTTAAAACTCTGGTGCATTGATGCTCAGATCATTGAATCCCCTATAGGAATGTGTTTTAACTGAAAACTCTGATGCATTGATGCTCAGATTACCTGAAAACTCTGGTGCATTGATGCTCAGATTACCTGAAAACTCTGGTGCATTGATGCTCAGATTGCCTGAAAACTCTGATGCATTGATGCTCAGATTACCTGAAAACTCTGATGCATTGATGCTCAGATTACCTGAAAACTCTGGTGCATTGATGCTCAGATTACCTGAAAACTCTGGTGCATTGATGCTAAGATTACCTGAAAACTCTGGTGCATTGATGCTCAGATTACCTGAAAACTCTGGTGCATTGATGCTCAGATTACCTGAAAACTCTGATGCATTGATGCTCAGATTACCTGAAAACTCAGATTATTGAATTCCCTGGATGAATGAGTTTTAATTCAAAATTGAAAACTCTGGTGCATTGATGCTCAGGTTGTGTGTTGAATCTCCTGGAAGACTAAGTTTCAGCTTGAGAATCTGAATCATTAATGCTCATTTTGTTTGTAGAATCTCCTGAAGGACTGAGTTTTAACTGAAAGTCCTGTTGCATTGACATTCAGCTTCTTTAAGCCATGACAAATGCAAGCATTTTATTAGATTCTGGTTGGTGTGAGGACTTTCCTCATGTCTCAGTGTTGAAATACCATCTTATCTAATACCACTTTAGAGCTTTGGTTACCCTTTCAGTGCTCAGGCACTTAAAAGAATATTCCGAGTGCTGTTATATCATTTCTTATACCACCTCAGCACAGACTAGGTGTTATACATTCATTTCTCGTTTCATATGCTACATAATAAACTACATAATGTAAAAGTTTTCTAGTGTTGTGTTTACATCCTTTTACATTTTTCTTTTCTTTTTTTTTTTCTAACTGCTTCTAGAACACTGTAAGGATTCCAAGAACTTTAATTCCATGTTTGCCATCTTGAGCGGCCTGGGCCACGGGTCTGTTTCCCGTTTGAAGATGACTTGGGAGAGATTACCTGGCAAATATTGTAAACTGTTTGAGGTAAGTTCAAGATTTTATGTTCATTGTTCTTGTAGCAGACATTTGTGTTAATGGGAGTGTAAATTTGCCTCATTTCTAGATGCTTACTTGCTGATCCAGGGGTTTTGAATTTGAATTTACACTTGATGGATTTGGTGGTGGGGAAATTGACCTTAGCCTTGGTTCCTTAGCACACACGCACACACACTTATATGTGCATTCACATGCACAGGTAGACTGATTTTACATGACTGACTTTTTAAAACCAAATTGGCTTTTTTTTACACAACTTTGAAACTTTTATACTATTTGGCTGTGTTTTACTACTTTGATTCTTTTACACTACTTTGGCTCTTTTATACTACTTTGGCTGATTTTTAAATGGTGGCTATTTTACGCTGCTTTAGCTCTCTTACACTGCTTTAGCTTTCTTATACTTCTTCATTTCTTTTATACTATGACTGTTTTACACTGTGTGGCTTTTTAAAGTAACTCTCTTACACTACTTTGACTATTTAAAAAAAAAGACTAATTTAGCTCGTTTACTCTGGCTGTTAAATACATTTTTTCAACATTCTTTAACATGTGCATTCAGGTGAGTAATTTAAATTTTGTTTGGTAATCCAGGATCTACAATCATTGATGGATCCTTCACGCAATATGGCCAAGTACCGTAATCTCATCAACAGTGAGCACGTACAACCCCCTTATGTGAGTCCAGGTTACCGTATGTCGCTGTGCTTTTTTGTTTACATATAATATGACAGTATTTTAATAGTAATACCCCACGCTTAGGAGTCGCCGTGGCCGAGCGGCTAGGCGCTCGCCGTGGATTGGAAGGTCGTGGGTGGAGCCAGACTTTGTTAAAAAAATGACCTAGGCTCCCAGGTCCACCCAACCTTGAGTGGGTACCGGGTGCAGTCCTGGGCAGTAAAGGCGGCTGGCGTGACGCTGACTACATCACCCATCTTGTGCCGATTGGTCTATAAAAATATAGGTCTAGCCCTATATGCCCTAACACCTAAAGGCGTGGAAAAGGGTCCTTTACTTCTTTATTACTATCCCACGTTTTCTTTTTTTCTCAGGAAATATTGAAGATAGAAACATGACATTTTTCACTCTTCAAATTTTACTATCAAAACTGTGTCTTCTTTTTCTCCTCTTCCTTTCCTCCTCCTGCTCTTCCTGCTACTTCTGCTCCTCCTTCACGTTCACCAGCTGTAAACTCCGGCAGAAAGTTCTTGTTGCTCGTCCACTTCAGGTCTTTGGTTTTGATCCAGAACTTTAGTTTTGCATGCACATCTGTTTACAGATCAGGCTTATTTGTGTGCAGACTGTTGGTTCTTTGTCTCTTAGGCAGATGCACAATGACTTGGAAGAAAACACACCTGATTAGCCGCCTTCTAAAATGAGCTTATTAGGGAGGCAGTGGTTCTGTTCTTTGCTGTCCAGAATGATGCCCCCCCCAGAACCCATCTGGGAAAATATTATAGGTACAAAATAGCAACTCGTTTGACACGCACGCATGGACATGCGCGCGCGCAAGCACGCTTGCACGCGCGCACACACTCACACACCTGCATTATCTATTAAAATATACGACAGGTACAAGATGCATTGCAAACAGCTTATTGTAAATTTTATAGTTGTGGCAAAAGAAACTGTGATGAACATTCACATACATTTGTGTGCTGTATTCAGAAGTTGTGCAAATAATAGGAGCACCGTTGGTCACTGAGTTGAGAGAGTTAAATCTTCATAAATGCAGAGACATACCTGACGATTTTATTTGGGCTATGAAGAAATGTCTACGGGAACAGGTAAAAGCTGCTTGATACAGGCAAAGTGAACATGCTCTTGTTTTAAGCTGGCTCTGGGTAGGTAAAGAGGGCGGAGATTTTACAGAAAAAAATTCTGATGTGTAAAAAAGGATGATAAATTATATTGTCTGTGAATTTCGTACATTTTCGTACAAGTTTATGAGGACACAAAATGTGGGGCCTTTTTTTTCGAAATATCCCCAATAAATGTTTTTTTCCCGTGTAGGATCCAGGTGAGGGGAGAGGGGATAATAGACCAAAAGGTGACTTCTTCTTTACGTCCTCTTTTACTGCCTCATATGTCGAGGAAGATATAATGTCCTCCTTCGTGCTTTTCTGGCTGCTTGGACTAAAGACACATCAAGGTACTGTAGAGTTTCTCTGATGTTTTTATTCCATATGGTTCTTGGTCTACCTCTTGCTCTATGTCCCTCTCCTCTTTTGGTATATGCCTTGAATGGTATAGCATCAGAAGGCATTCTCTCCAAGTGGGCAGACCCTTTGATGTGCTGAAAAGGCGACTAATGAAAGAATTGCTGAAATCAAGTTTGTGGACTGAAAATGCATATATCACAGCCAAGCTGTAAACCATAATACATCATGCCACCCACCATTTTAAAGATGAGATCATAAGAAGAAGAAATGTTGTTAGAACTCAAATTGTTTTGTTGCTGTAAAAAAGAAATTAATGTCACATAACAAAATGAAAACTCTTCCATTTATTTACTTGTTTCTTTCTTTCAAAGATTCCATTTTATCCAGTCTTCAAGAAGGATCTGACTTTCATCCACCTTGGCAATGATTCCTTTATAGATGGGCTCATCAACTTTGAGAAGCTACGTATGATTGCCAAGGAGGTTAGACACATCTGCAACATCTGCTCCACTAAATATGTGAGTTAACCACACATTTTATTTTTAGTCATATACTACTTCATATACTTCTTACGGGGAGTCGCCGTGGCCGAGCGGCTACATGCTTGCCGCGGATCATAAGGTCGTGGGTTCACTCCCTGGCGGAGCCGGACTTTTTCAAAAATGACCTTGGCTACCAGGTCGACCCAGCCTTGAGTGGGTACCGGGTGCAGTCCCGGGAAGTAAAGGCAGCCGGCTTGGTGCTGACCACATCACCTATCTTGTGCCGATTGGTCTATAAAAATATAGTTATAGCCCTATATGCCCTATAGGCCTAAAGGCCTAAAAAAGGGTCCTTTACTTTTTTACTTTTATACTACTTACGGCGTCCGTAGCTTAGCTGTTGTGAGTCTGACAGGTAATTCCAACATACTGCTGGCTGCGAGGATTTTTATAATGGAATGGGGGCGTCGTGGGTTGACCCAGCCCAAAATGGGTACCAGGATGTATGTCCTGGCAGAAGTAAAGACCGCCGACATAATGTGGACCACATTACCCACCTAGTGCCAATTGGTCTGTAAAAATATGGGTGCTCTCCTCATATGCCTGATGCACCTAAAGGCGTGACAAGAGATCTTTACTTTACTTACTACTTATCTGGTTTGATTAAGCAATGGACAGTTTGTTATCAGACCACTTTGTGAAAACGTTGAGGTGGTATGAGCGTTGTACTCTTCAGAAAGCAGTGGCATACTAGTTAGTGGCGCATTCTTTACAGGACATTGTAGAACCAACGCCAGCATTTGTTGGCTGTTGTGGTTTTTCTAGGCAAATTTACATCCAGTAGTTTAGTGGCATACTACTGAACATAAGATTGTCTAGCAGAGCTGCTGACACATGCTGGAGTTTGTTTTACAAGGGATTTGCAGTTCACTTTTCTTAACAGCTTAATTAGATGATGAGATCGTAACTTTGTGGAGTAGATTCTTACACAGATGGAAGACTCAGGACGAAATGAATGATGATGATGGTGGTAGTGGTAATGATGGTGGTGGGGGTGGTAATAATGTTCATGATAATGATGGTGGTAGTGGTAATAATGAAGATGATGGTGGCGATCATGATAAAACATAGCTGTTGACCTACTGTATGTGTGTCTGTGGTTTGTATCCCAACAGGATTCCAGTAGCATGTTCCTCAGCACCAACAGCACCTTCCAGAGCACCCTGGTCTCAGGCATGACCACACTGAAGCGCACAAAAAACAGAAGAGGCTCTGCATTGCCCAACGCCAAGAAAATGTATGAAGAGGTATGTTTCGCCCACCATCTTAGTTTTGTTATAGTCCATATGAGATAGCTTGACTATCTGACAAGTGCCACAGAGATGCACCCTGAAGAAATACCGGGGACACAGAGCAAGCGTAAAACCATGCAAAAAAATGAAATAATGGCATCAGTAGCAGCTTCAAAGAAATGAAGATCAGGTTATGCCAGTGATTCCCAAACTGTGCGCCACGGCGCCCCTAGGAGCCTCAACCTCTTCACACGGGGGTCGCAAAATTTTAGAAGATAACGAGCTTTTTTTTTTATCTCTTACATACGAATAGTCATACTTTTACTTAGCTAAGGGCGCTGTGGAAACAATTTAATTGCAAAAAAAAAGGCGCCGTGGCTAAGACAAGTTTGGGAAACACTGGTTTATGCAGTTCGTTAGAAAGAATTCACAGAAAATCCTTTTAGCCCCGGGGGGTGGGGGGGGGGGGGGGGGGGGAGTATTACTACTTCTAGAGGGGCCAGAGATACATTCCTTGCAGGAAACATAAATGTTGTCAGAGTTCTGCAGAGTGCCTGACTAAACATAAGATGTAAAAACATACATAACATGTTGATTGGTAGATGTGAATGATACCTGATAACTCATAGTGCATTGTCCGGGACAGAGAATTTGACCTGGAACAGGATATGATATTTGGTAGCAGGCGTAGGTTAGGACATCTCTAGGGGCCCCTGGGACAGAGTGGTTGAGCTGTTGGCCTTATACTCCGTCAGCTGTGAGTTCATTTCTTCTTCTTAGTGTTCACTGGCTTGACAGTAGAAAATGTTGGTTGTTTGTCCACTTCTAGACTGTGGTCTTGGTCCAGAATTTTTTGCGCATCCATTTTACAGATCTGGTTTAGTTGTATGCAGACTGTTGGTGCCTTGGCTCTCTGACTTTAAAAGAAAACACTCTTAATAAGTTGCCTCCAACTACGACATGCATGTTAGGGGGGGGGGGGGGGGTCTACGTTTTGTTCTCCAAAATGGAACCCCAGAACGTACACGGGGAACTTTCAGTTTCACAATCTATCATTCAGGTCATCGCGCTGGAGAGGACATCTTTGGAGTTATATTGTTTATGCTTTGTGCAATGCTCTTTGCTGTCGGCCAGCCACTCTACAAAGAAAAACTAAGCTGCATGATGTAATAGAAGTGCTTGGTGCAGTGAAGTGCAGTTACACCACATTCTTCAAACAAATATAGGGCTCGTTGTTCATATAATCAGTGACAACCTAATTAAATGCTGTTGAGGCTTATCTCACTCCCTTATCTAGCGCATACCTTTTATGCCTTCCCATAGCACAATATAAGACTGTCATCTGGAAAGAAGGAAAGGTGCCAACATATTGGAAATATGGTGTTTCACTTTACAGGGCAGTTCACTTTTGAAGGATACATTGTTTATGTCCATATATTTCATGAACAGCTGGCACATGAGGTGTATACAAAAACTGCCAATAACTGCCTTTATTACCACTTTTGGGGTGTTGGCAGGGGGAGAGGTCTTTGAGCCTGATGATTTATGGCCGCATGGCTAGTGCTGTTGCCACAAATGTGCAGGTGAGGATTTTATTTTGCCCCCGACAGAAAAAAAATCCCCAGCCTTACCGAGGATTCCAACCCGGGTCTCCCACAGAGAGCCCAATGTTCCAACCGTTCGGCCAGCCACTCCTCTGTGAGGTATATAGTTTTATAGCATCCACCATTACCTTTCCTGGGAAATCATACTCACTTATCTGATGAAACTGGGTTAACCCTGAGCCATACCTGATTTTCACATAAATATAAACGAAACACATCAAAAACTAGCTTTACATACAATAACTCATTTAATAACTGACATCTGCAGGCACAGATGGTCCGCCGAGTCCGGTCGTACCTCAGCAATATACCCAGTATTACAGACGAAGACAAGATCACAGAACTATCCAATCAGTGTGAAACTCCAGGTTGGTCACCTCATTAAATGATTAATTATTCAGCATTAAAATGGTTTATTGTCATTTGTAATTGGTTTGTCATGCGTCTTAGTATGCTTGTTTCTGCACTGGGTGTTGTTGTCATTTAAAGGAGACAGGTTCGATTCCTGGCATGATAACCATGGCATTCAATTTTTATATTAGTTAATATGTCCTATCTTTCTACTTCTTTCTATGAGTGCTCATCAATACATTGTCTGTTTGTTTATTACAGATAGAAATTACTGCATGTATAAGTTTGTAAACTTTCCCTCTGGGCATTTGGTTGACGTCTCTTGACGCATGTTGGTAGATGAGATGTGTTTTCAGGCTGAAAACATTCAGAATGAATTATTTATAGGGGTCCTTGGGGAAGAGATATGAAATCATAATAAAAGGGAAGATACAATTGAGAAACCTCCATCATAAAGAGCTCAAAAATATCATTGTCTACTTGGTCGTGAATTTTGAGAGTGTCATCTTTGGGTCGTGTTTCATCTGCTCCCCTAGACCCCAATCTCCACTTCTACCTTATTCTCCACATCCTCTTCCTGTTCTCTTTCTCTTATTCTACTAAATATTCCTTCTCCTCTAACTGTTCTTCTTCTTATTATTATTTATTTCATTGTTCAGCTGTGTATAGACCCTAAAGCAAATCATGGCAAGCCATATTTTAGGTTTGGCCATTGGTTGAATGAATGTTAAATCTAGTTTCCTGTGGAATGAGACAAAAGTCTCACCCTAATCTTCCTTAGTTGACTCTCACAATACACTTGATAGGGGACAGTGTTAATGTGCTTTCCTTGTCGGCTCCACTAGTACACAGATGTTTTTGTTAACTCCTATACAGCACATACACAGTATGAGGATGTTTGCAAGCAGGACATGAATGATACAGCATTGAAAGGGATTCCTGAAAAACAGGATGCCATAGATTACTTTGCATAAATGGGAGCAATTAAGAAGGGAAAAAGAACAATTGGAAAAAAAACAAAGTTTACAGACAGGTTAAAAGGTGGGTGTCTGAGCCCAGTGATCCTGAAATCTCTTGTGCTCATTACGCAAGATTCTTCTTAATGTACACTAGTCTTGCTGAGTGACACCACAGTTGCCATGGGTTGTGATTCCCCTGCCTCACATGCCACTTGATCATCTGGAATATGATCTAGAAAGACAGAAAGGTGCTAACATGCACATTGAAAGATGTGTGTGCCTCTATTGAGGCAGAAGTGCTGGCTTTGATTTCTGAGAATTCTCTACAGGAGGATGCTGTCATATACACAGATGGGTCTGTAGTTAGCCATGTGAGAAGCTTTTGGGCTTTTATGGCTCAGGTTGGAGTTAGAACTGTGAAGCAAGGTTACCTTGACCACAAGTAGTCTGACTATGGAGGTCATGGCAGTGACTAAAGCAATAACATGGCTGGAGACACAGACATTTTCCCATGCATGCTTTCTCAGTGAGTAAGCTCAGGAAGATAGAGAAGGGCTGGATCCGAAGACAGGGGTTGGAGTCTCTAAAGTGTTCGGGGATAACATATATCAGTTTCATATTTGTGCCAGGGTACGCACGCAGGCGTGCAAGGAAATGAGCAAGCTGACCGGCTTGCAGGGGAAGCTACTGTGGAGAGTGGTCAAGCCATGGACCATGCTGATATTCTGATTGGTGTGCCAGAAGTGATGACTGCCAATTTGCAGCCACAATCAGACTGCAAAAACAACATGTTAAAAGTGGTGTGGCTAGACAAGAGCACCATTGGGAGCCAGAGAAGAATAAGAAACCATCACAGGACTTGTGTCATCAGCCGCGGCATGCTGCAGGATTTACTGAGGAGGGGATCTGAGCACTTATGTGAACTGAATAGTTCAATGTGCAGTGTGGATAATCTGTCGACTAACATTGAAAGATGTATTCTTTAACTGTTGTGTTGAGAATATCCTGCTGTATATCTTTGCGTTTAGTTGAGTTGATTTAGGACTGACATCACAGCACTTAGGGAAATCCCATAGGCACTTTGCCCCATCTTCAGCAGCCAGCGCAGAGTTCCAATACCAATAGCACCAGCAGCAGTCCTAATTATATGTCCATCTTGCTCTTATCTCGTCTTTCAGTTAAAAGGAGAGACCAGTCCCCTAGTGTCAACAATTCACCTAACATGGAGGATAAGAGGGTCTTGTCAGCGCTGGGACCAAAGTTTGGTGAGTCATCCATGTACTTACTGTCTGATTCTTAGTTTTCTTAGTTATAGTCTAGTGAACCGTAGCAGTGGGTCTCACATTAGTAGGGTTGTTGTGCGCATGCATGCAGAACTGGTTTTCTCTTTGAAATACCAATGCTTAGCGATGATTTATACACACATTACCACAGTTTCATATCTTTTCCAAGTCTGCTGACTGAGAGACTAATTATTCTTCATTAACCCTTAGGAGGGCACTTACCATTGTCATGTTGTTGTTGTTTACAGCCAGGCACCTTTTTGGCCCAGAACATCAGCAAATCCATAATTAGTCACCTCTTATGTCACACTTGTTAGGGGGCACTGGGTGGTTTGTTTTCCCCCAAATGGTACCCTGAGACCCACACAGGGAGAGAGAGACTGATCACTACAGAAGTCTCAAAATAAAATGTAGGCAATTTTTCACAAACTATAAGCTGAACCTTATTGATTTTATGCACATAAATGCACAGACACTCACACAAATGCAGTCCAGAAAATGAGAGAAGTTGATCTGGATAGACAGGCTTGTAGACAGACTCTCTCTCTCTCTCTCTCTCTCTCTCTCTCTCTCTCTCTCTCTCTCTCTCTCTCTCTCTCTCTCTCTCTCTCTCTCTCTCTCTCTCTCTCTCTCTCTCTCTCTCTCTCTCTCTCTCTCTCTCTCTCTCTCTCTCTCTCTCTCTCTCTCTCTCTCTCTCTCTCTCTCTCTCTCTCTCTCTCTCTCTCTCTCTCTCTCTCTCTCTCTCTCTCTCTCTCTCTCTCTCTCTCTCTCTCTCTCTCTCTCTCTCTCTCTCTCTCTCTCTCTCTCTGTGTGTGTGTGTGCGTGCGTGCGTGCGTGCGTGCGTGCGTGCGTGCGTGCGCGCGTGTGTGTTTTTTTTTTTTTTCTGTCTAGGGTTGTTGCTAGAGGAAGTGAGATGTGGCTGGCCGAACAGTTTTTTCTCTAGGTAGTTAGCACCTTGATGGGGATTGAAGCCCATGGTCGCTGGCCAGGACCCCACTACTGGGGCTGCTCAACTAGAGTTCAGCATATATGTTCTTTTTCTCCTCCTTCTCTAGTCCTGTTCTGCCTTTCAGCACCAGGTTTTGAAGACACGTTGGGTACAAGCCTTGATCTGTTCTACATAGATGCTTCTATTTACGGTCTTGCATATTTCATCTGGGAGTCGCCGTGGCGGAGTGGCTAGACGCGCGCCTTGGATCGGAAGGTCGTGGGTTCGCTCCCTAGCGGAGACGGACTTTTCTTCAAAAATGACCTTGGCTCCCAGGTCGACCCAGCCTTGAGTGGGTACCGGGTGCAATCCCGGGAAGTAGAGGCGGCCGGCGTGATGCTGACTACATCACCCATCTTGTGCCGATTGGTCTATAAAAATATAGGTCTAGCCCTATATGCCCTATACGCCTAAAGGCGTGGAAAGGGTCCTTTACCTTTTCTTTTTTTATATTTCATCTATCCATTTCCTGGGTAGTCTACCTCTAGCCCTGCTTCCATTATGTCTGTCATGCACTGTCTAGTGGTAGTCTTGACTCATGTCTGAATGATTTGATCTGCTGTCTCTTGATGTAGTTTGTACTGGTTCCATCCCACCTTCTTTTCTAAAATCATTATCTCAGTATCTAATCTGTCAGCAAATAATAAAATGCATTTCATTAAGTTCTCTTTATTATAGTTGCCCTTATAAGTTGTATCACATCAATTTTATGAAGTTGTTTTTTTAAACCCTTCTATTTCTGCACATCTAAGAAAACAAAATTACATAACCTTTTTGTATTCTAATGAAATAGAAGCAACATTTTGCAGCCTTGCTGTAAACCACAACACAGTGTGCCTACTGCCTTTTTAAGTGTGAATGAGACGAACGAACGAACTTTATTTTCAAAGGGTTACAAATTAGGCACGCAGGCCTGTCTTACATTCGGCCCTTCCAAACTTTCATCTTTCACACAGCAGTTGTATATTTCAAGTCGAAGAAGCAGCAGTCTGAGGCAGGGCAAAATGTACCTGCCTCAGTATGTTTCTCATGTTGATGTCTATAGCACATACTTCAATCTTTAGTATAAACTTAACAAATGAAAAATGTGTCTCTACATTTGACTATTGAAAATATATGTTAGCACATGATGCTTATTATGTTTTTTGTTTATTCGTCATAGATTGTGCTTTACAGCAGTTGCTCTTGCATATTTAGATATGTGTTTTTTGTTTTTTTTTACTTGGAACTGAGTTTTAACCAGTCGTATTTGCAGTTCTAAAATGATTCATGCTTTGGCTTGTGTAGTTGATTTTGTTCTTTCTTCCGTTGCATGATCATTAGTTTTCTGTTTTCCATCTTCACATTGTTTATTCAGCCTGACCATCTCCAGTTGTAGAATGCTTAGAACTGGTGGTTGTTACATCATGCAAAACATGGTGGGACTGACCACATGGTTGTTACATCATGCAAAACATGGTGGGACTGACCACATGGTTGTTACATCATGCAAAACATGGTGGGACTGACCACATGGTTGTTAAGAAAGATCTTGCCTAAATGTGATATTGCAATGCAAATTAAAGCTGACAAGATTTGATAAGACCCTGCACCATTAGATGCTTTAGCACAATTTGTTTTGGCTTAAGCATGAACGGATTTATTTCTTCTAAGGCTGTGAAAATGAATTCATTGTTAAAACTAAATAGCTTGTATCTAGTTGTTGATCATTTTCTTCTAGTTAGTGATTACTTGTGCCTATTTGCTCTTAGCAAGTGTCAAATGTAGATAAAAAACAAGTTGTCCTCAGGTCATCGCAGTATATGTTTTGGTACTTTCTTAATATCCTACCCCAAACAGGGGAAATCCGCAGGTCATGGGACAGATCTTGAGTTTTATGTGCATATCCGGTTTACAAATATGGCTTATTTGTATACAAACTGTTGGTTCCTTCCCTTTCAAACAGATGCACTCCGACTTTAAAGGAAAAACTTCTAAATAGTTACCTCCTAGGACGTGCTTGTTAGAGTGGAGGCTGGTCTGTTACTTATTTCATTAATTAAAAAGAACAATTTTTGTTACAACGGAGCCTCAGAACCAACACAGGGAGTGTGTATTGTTAATATACCCATTGTCATAGGCAAATTCATATTCTTGCATAGCAGGGTTAGAGACCAGAAAAGTGTAGTTAAAAGACATAACAGATTTTATTCTAGAAAAGTATATTTTTGGCATACGAGGAATTTCCTA